TCAACGTCAATCTCGTTATAATATGACTTGTGCGTAGGCTTGAAGAGGGCGGTATTAAAGTTAAACATTGCTTTAGACATCTTGTTGTAGATCTGCTCCGTTCTCACGCAGATGGAACCATCTATAGAATTATTCACTAAGTTCTGGGTCTTAACCTTGTATTTAATCTCTTTGTGGCTCTTGTTGTTTATCTTGATCTTAAACTTGAAGTTAAGTTCGGACACACACCCCGCGCTGAACCTAACCTGTGGCTCATATCCTGCCTGTTTGCTAAGATAAAAGAGATGAGACAGATCGTAGCCATTATATACCAATGTGTATTCGCTGTGCTCGGTATACTTCCTGATGTCGTCTAGGGATGTGATCATTTTACATTCCACTGGCTCTTCCTTCTCGTTAATGTGATAATCTGAAGATGCCTTAACAGATATATTATAATTACTGCTTTTTGGCATCATCTGCTTCAACACATTCACATTATCACTTGCCGTGTAGATGTGATTGTTCTTCACTATAGCGTATAAGGCTGGGATGTGATGATTTCTCTTTATTGGGTCGCGTTTATAAATTAGAGTATTAAAGGCATCATATATTCTCACTTGCAAGTTAAAATGTTCAAACACCTTGGCCATGTCTGTTATTGATGCCCCTTTTTTTTTTAAATCTTCTTCCGTCTTATTTATGATCTTTAGGATGGCTTCTTTTGTTAGTTTGTTCTTCTCTCGCTTGTTATCTCCCATAAGGGTATCCTTATAATAATCGGTCAAGGTGTTAAACCAACACTCGTTCCTAACATAATGTTCTACTTTAATGGCTTCCTTAAAGGTCTCATACTGTGGATCTAGTGGTGTCTGAATATATCTGTGATACATACTGACATTCACAGTGTTTGTTAGATCTTCGTCTTGTGGCTTGAAAGCATCGGCGTTATCTACCCTTTCGGCATAATTAACTTTAATACAGTCAATGTAACCTTCTGCGTAACCAACTTCGGCTTTAAAACTGTCATCTGTCACTAATAACAACTTGAGCCTATAGAACGTCTTAGAATCGGCTTTCTCATATTTGAATATGCGTCTCCCCGCTAATTTTTCTACCCACTGTGTTGTATGCACATTAGCAATTAAAGGGTTCATGTATACTGGGACATATTCCCTACCCCTACTGTCTCTAAAAGATGTTTTTAATACACCTTTGTCTGCTTCTGTCTTAAGCCTATATAAATGAACATTGATTGAATATTTTTTTGGTTTCCTCGGGTTGGTTCTTCCCGTTCGTTTGTTGTCTTCTTTTGCTTGTGCCATTCTCTGACCTAGTTGTTCTTTATCCTTGTGCTTGTCGTAGAGTTTATTATATTCTTTTTCCGCATTAGTTTTTTCTTTGTCTGTTTTTGCAGTGGTGAGTTTCCTGATTAAATTGTCTGCTGTGGTGAATTGGGCAATCTTACGATCTGAATATAAGTTAATTATATTTTGAACTTGTGTTCTGGTGGCTTGGTTGATGCGGTTTCTTCTGTTGTTATAAAATGTTTGTAGTGCTTCTGTATTACGCTTAATGGCTTTGGACATATACTAATATAATTAAACTATATATTTATTTTCTTTTTAAGTATAAATTTTCCAAGGATTTTTTAAAATACTAAATGTTTTTTTAATATATAGAAATATGTCTAAAGATAAAAAATAATATATAGTATAGTATAATATGAGTAAAAATCCCGAGGATATGACAATGGATGAAATCAAAGAGCAACTCGCCATATACAGCAGATTGTATTACAACAAGCGCAGAAATGATGAAAAGTATATGCAAAAGAAACGAGAATCTGCACTGCGACACAATCAGAGAAAGAAGATCAAGGAGTACGAAGAAGCTAACAATATCAAACTGAACCCCGATGAGATGACAGAAGAATTGCTATCAGAAATAATGAATGCGAAAAAGCCTTTTAAAACAAAGCGCGGTACACCCAAATATGATATGAGCAAGTTCAAGATCATAAAGCCGATGGATGGCGAATGATGATTTAATTTAAGTATTAAATCATTATTTAAAGAAAAGATAACTAAGGATAAGTAGGGAGATGAACAAATATCAGAATGGAAAGGTTTACAAAATTGTTGATGTTGGTTATAACAAGTGCTACATCGGATCTACTTGCGAAGAACTGAGCCAACGAATGGCAAGACACAGGGCCATTTACAAGCAGTTCACAAAAGGCAAGAAAACAAGTTATTTATCGGCGTTTGACTTATCTGATGAGTTTGGTTTGGACAACTGTAAGATTGAACTATTGGAGGCCGTCGCAGTAAATAGCAGGGACGAGTTAAGACAACACGAGGGAAAACACATTCAGATCAACGACTGCATCAACAAACGGATAGCTGGTAGAACTGATGAGCAATATTATCAAGACAACAAAGATATAATCAATGAGCGACACCAACAACATTATCATTTACATAGAGAAGCAATATGTCACAAGCACCGAGAATATTACGAAGGAAATAGAACCAAAGCTTTGAATAATCAAGCTCAAAGGGTGTTGTGCGAATGTGGGTCAGGACATAGGAAAGGAGACAAAGCCAAACATCTAAGGACAAAAAAACATTTGGAGTATGTCTGCGCGAAGTCTGAAGAGCGAAAATAATATCATCTTTATTATAATGAGTAGTTCTAATAAAGATGATATAATTAACAAGGTTTATTACGATAGAAGCGGTTTCGGTAGTAAGAATCGCACATTAGAAGAAGCACGGGAGAAAGACAAAACCATCACAATGTCTGATATCAATGATTTTTTTAGGAAGAACGTTGAGCAGAAGCGCAAACCTGTTGGTTCCAACAGCTTTGTCGCTCCTCATTCGGGATGGGAGTATCAGATGGATTTGTTTTTTATCAACGACTTGAAAGATCAAAAGTTTAGAGTAGGGATGTTAATGATTGATATATTTGATAAGTTTATGCATGTCGTGGCAATTAAAGGTAAAAAGGAGGAAGACTTAGCTAGTGGGATGATTGAAAGCTTACATAAAATGGGGAAGAAGCCAAAGATGATTTTTACCGATGATGAAGCCGCCATGAACAAGGAGGCAATACAAAAGTATTTACAGGAACAGAACATAGAACACTATAGAACTAGGGCACACGCAAATTTCAGCGAAAGGGCCATTAGGACGTTCAAAGATTTATTATATCGGCGTGTTGAGGCGGATCAGAAAAAGGGTAAAGACAATATTCAGTGGACTGATTACATTTTTGAAATATTATTAACATATAACAATAAAATGAAACATTCCGCTACTGGTTTCACCCCAAAGGATGCCAGAAAACCGAGCAACGAATTAAAAGTCAAACTGCATTTAAATATGAATGCTAAACGAAATCGGGTCTATCCCGAGGTTGAGGTTTCAGACGAAGTGAGAATATTCAGGAAAAAGAAACCGAATGAAAAAGAAAGAGTGGGCAATTTCAGCCAAAATGTTTATACCATAGAAAAAATTGATGAAAAGCTGGGCCAAAAATATTATTATGTATCAGGGAATGATAGGGCGTATTTGCGATTTGAGTTGCTAAAAGTTTAATTTACTTTCAGAAAAAAGTTTCACTGGAGGATCTGACAAGGATCTGACACGTAGATATGTCAACGGGGAAATGTTCAAGTTGAAAGCTGTTGGGAATGCGACCAAATAAGCAAGGCTAGCAAAATCAAATTTACGACTGCCACTATGCGACAATGATACGTGCCATAAGTGTATGAAGGAACAAAACAAAATGAACGACTTTGATGAATACGTTTATTGGTCGAAAGGCAACAACATGCGATGATGTTGTTGTAGTTGTGTTCTCATTGTTTGTACCTCGATACGACTCACACAATGAAATACAATAAACAAACATTAACTGATCAAACAGCCCGAGAAACAAACTATGAAGCGCAAACATGGCGTTGACCATGCTTTGACGCTTCATTGCGTGCTGCACTATACAAAACAGGTATGAAAAGGATATAACACCAAAAGCTTGCTGCCTTAAGTTTAACCATCGCAATATCACGCGAGAAATAGCCTTATTACGCAACAACCATGTCTTGATTTTAACTTGATGTGCGCCGCGCTTCTGTTTTTTCCTCGTGTATGTCTAGTTTGGTCGCAATGTTTTTTGCGCGTGCTCATGAGTGTTGATTTACTCGTTTCCTTGAAAATGACACTTTGCAATACACGAGAACGCTTAGAAGACCCAGCGATACCCCCAAGGGGCTGGCAGACGTAGAGAGCGTTTGGGTTGTCGAACTCTCATGGTAGTGCTCGAGGATTGACGACACGCTTCTTGTCGGATTCCTGGCAGGCGATCTGGGGAGCTTGGCTCGGAAAGCCCGAAAGCGTCAGCTGATAGCAGAATAGGTGGTGAACAGATATCCAACCTAAAGGCGGAACCCCAAAATGGGGTGAACAAGCACCCTAAACACAGCCTGCTGGAAAACGACGAAAAGATCTAAAGCAAACCGCAAGCCAACAACAACAACAACAACAACAACAACAACAACAACATATGAGCGACTGCCAAAACCGGCCGGCGGTGCTAATGGACGCAACATGAGGGGTGTCGCTTTACAAGTGTTCCAATCGATTTACAACGTTTTAGCATCAGTTATCCACGCTTGAAGTCTTCGGGGAAAAGTCAAGGCTCTAGCCAACCACAACGATTCATTAATCTAGGGGTGTGGCTTTTCAAGTGATCCCATCACTTTACAGGGTTTTAGGCATTCGTGTCCACCCCTCGCCTACTTGAATGGCTGGGGCTTGGCGCTTGCCAAAATTTTTCACGCAGCAACCTCAGAAAGCCACGGCCACCAATGGCATCGATTTACTTTTGACGCGGCGCTCGCGACTGTTGGTATCAGAGTCAAGGTCCCTAACATCTGCACAAGCACAGGCGGAGAACTTCACACTTGCTGAGATGAGCAAACGAGGCGCAGGGTTCTCAACAAACCTTCTTCCTTAAAAGCTTGCCGTCCTCGTCAATCCAAACTTTCCGGTCATCATCCGACACACTCTCCACAAACAGTGATCGAAGTAGTCTTCCTCCACGACGTGCCATTTGAACATCTTGTTGATGCGCTCGAGCTTCCTTTTCGCCCACGGCTGAAGGTCATGACTCGCAGTGTAGATGTGCTTTGTTGTGAAGGCTTGACTGAGACTCGTCCACGTGCTTCCGGCCAACATCGGATTGTTCTCCAGGTATCGGCTCAGTCCGAGTTCAAGAAGAGGGCGCGTGGCATATAGCGCTTTGACTCGAGAGAGCTCCTCGAGCAGTCGCAGTTTTTCCCTCTTGTGCATTTCTGTGAGTTCACTCTGGACCTGCACTGTCCTTTCCTTGTCCTGTATTGTCTTTTCCTTGTCCTGTATTGTCTCTTCCATAGCTTCCATAACAAGTCGGGCCCGCTTTGCTTGCCGATCTTGCGGCATCTGATCGAACCATTCGATCAGTTCGCTGCGCATCAGTTCTCTGTACATTGCTAGGTGCTGACAGCTCGAGAGCCGAGAACTGGCAGCTCAAGTTGAGAGGTCCTTGCAAACTCAGATCAGAACAAGTGCAAAGCACTCTACTGTGCAGCAGTCCTGAACGTGGATGTAGGGCGTAGTTGTCGCTGACGTCCAGGCCGTAAGAGTAGGCCAGCGTTTCAGCAGACAAAGGAAGCGATGTGGCAGAGAGAGAGAGAGAGAGCGAGCGTTACAACCCACAACCCTTAACCCTAAACCCTGAACCAAATTCTACGAGGAACCCTTCGCCCCTTTTGAGTAATAATGCCACCTTAGAGACAATAGATGGGGTTATGGTTACTCCTAAAATTGTGTTGATAATGGGGTAGTAGTCGTGATATAATGGTGAAGTTTAGGGGGGATCCTAGGAATGATCATCTAATGGGGGAAGTAGTAGTGATTTATCGGTGAAATGTAGGGGGGAGTATAGGGATAATCATCTAATGGGGGTAGTAGTAGTGATTTATCGGTGAAATGTAGGGGGGAGTATAGGGATAATCATCTAATGGGGGTAGTAGTAGTGATTTATCGGTGAAATGTAGGGGGGAGTATAGGGATAATCATCTGATGGGTTGGCGGTGGCATTATTACCCAAACTGGGCAAGGTCTACTCTGACTGAATTGCTCTCGGTCGGTTCGAGGAGCAGCTAATCTAGAAGCCTGGACAGTTGCCAACACTATGCCTTCGGGTTCCATGCTATAACAATGCTACCAGTAACACTGTTGCAATTATGAAAACTTCTGTACTGCTTGCAATAGGATTGTTCTTACGAGTGTCTTTACAAGTATTACGACTAGTACTGTTTGTTATCCCTGTTATCTATACTATCACTGTAACTGTTATTCTGATTATCCTCGTTATTACGGCTAAGATTCACGACTGTTCTCATGGTAATGTTAAGTACTCTTGTTACCACTGCTGTAATGAGTCTGCGCACTACTATTGCTGCCATTGTTGCTACTCTTGTTAACTCTAATTACTAGTATCTTTACTATTATGATGATTATTCATTCCTAATACTACCCATAGGCCCCAAAGTAGTTCCTTTCTGGGACTACCTTATAGGCTTCTAGATATGAACCCTAAAAAGGAACTACACTGGGGGCCTCTGGGTATACTGAAACTCCAGCCCGGCCTTGGCATCTTTGCGCTTCCTCAGGCCGTCAGAGGACTCCGCCTCACTGCAGGACCGGAGCCGCAATCGGTAGATTGGGGTTCTTCCAGGGGTTTTTTTTGAAAGGTTTAGGGTCTAGGGTTCAGGATAATTGAGGTTTAGGATTCAGAGTCCGTTTAAGGTTTAACCCCCTTGCGGAATGAAGCTCCGTAGACCCTGACCAGAAAGTAGCTCACGTAAAAAAGCTAGCTCGACAGACTGTGAATTGGAGGACTGCGGAATGGATTCAACAAGTACGGGAATCACAACCCATAGTTAAGTGAACCACGTCATCTGAGATACTACTCCATTGGCTCGTCAGAGCCGTGTCAGGGAGCCCTTTCAAGCCCTGATGAAAAGCAAAGCCCTTCTTAGGCCCTTATACGAACTAAGCCCTTCTCAGCCCTCGCAAGAACAGCTTGGGCTTGTACCGGCGCAAGCAGCCGTTCCCGCATCTCAGCCTGCAAAACCCCCCCTTCCCTTCCTCCCTGCCTCCGCTTGTAAGCTCTGTATCTGTGGGTGTACATACATAAAATAGAATAAACTGCAGTGTATCACAATATAAAAACGTATCATAATATGACATAGTACAAAGTATATGTAAATAAAACCCAATGTAATACCATATGAGATGATAGACCACAACATAATACCACATCATGGAATGTCATATTGTGCAGTATAGTCTCATGTAATCTCAATGATACAATATGATATGGTATGCTATGCTATGATTAAACCAAACATAAAAAGCACATCATGTAAAACAAAATTAAGGTATACTGAGTACAATACAACGTAACATTTTCTGATATGCACGCATACACTTGTATGTATATATATATATAGACACAAGTGTAATTATGCACCAACACATGCCTGTAGCTTTACGATTCTGCTTGCATGTACAACAGATACATATACATAACACGTATGCACATACATACACACGTAGATACTGGGTTGTTTACTTTACAAACACACGTGCGTACCTACATACATATAAACACTACAATGCGTGTACATGCATATACACATATGTCCGCATATGCATGTATATGAATGTGTACGACTATCTATAGGTTATACTAGATCATACTATATATTGTAGTATACTATACAACATTGTATACTTTTCTTTTATATGGCATTATTTTGTTTTATCTTGCATTAAATGAACTTCTGGTGTTTAAACTGAATTCATATGTATATGTATATATATATATATATATATATATATGCGTCAAGTATATGCGTGTGTGTACGATATGCTAAACCTACAGAAGCATGTGCATGTACTAAGTTGTATGTCTACATGACGGTTTTGGAGGAGTCACCCGAGACTGACGGTTGCTGTATCAATGTCAGCGAAGTCCTATCGGTCCAGGTCCTTCGTCTTTGCCTGGCTGCCCTAACATGAAAAAAGAGACGCGTTGTGCTATCGTCCAAAAAAGATGCATGCACCTGCTAGCTGCGTACTTGGAGTCGCACAGTGACTCCGCATGTAAACAGGCACTACTTCGCGTTTGAAACCACACGGCCTTTCAAAGTCTACTTACATGCGAGTTCCCTCAGACTCTTCTGCCTGCAATGCAATCCCAAAGCTGCCAGAAACCAGTTCGCCGACGCTTGTTGCACTGCCAGTGTACTAACACTACCAAATGCACCAATCGGGCTCCTCCTCCTCCGCAACCTTGGTTGCAGCCATGCCGGCACTCGGTTGGCAGCGCCGCAGCAGCGCAGGCACAAGGAACGCTCGTGCTGAAGCTTGGATTGAAAGGTGTGAGTTCAGGTTAGGGCTTGTGGTGGGTATGGGGGGCCTGGGCGAGAGGCCTTGCTGTCATCAGCATTCTTTGTTCTGCTTCAAGCGTGTAGGAACAACTCCTACTGGGCGACTTCCATCTATCAGGTTTCAGTAAACCTCTCGGCGGTGAACCGTCGAAACCACTAGCTGAATTTGGTGTCGACGTAGCTTACCTGACACAGGTTCCATTTCTGCAGTCTTTCGCGTTCACGAAGCCGAGCAGTCGTCACTCAGTGGGTTGCTTAATCGTCTGCAATATGAGGTCGTCCATGCAAAGCCTCTGAGCACTGCTCGATGTTTCTCCATGCAGTGTGATGCCTCGAAGCTGGACCACAAACCGCAGAAATTCTTGGATGCACCGCGCAGGCATCAAGTATTCTCGTGCACTCTGAATCCGATGACGCTCAGACCATCTGCTAAAATCCGACAGATTGCCTGAAGCCGCAGACCTCAACATATGCGGCTACCACAAACCCTGAACCTTGAAACCCTCCACCCCTGAATCATGCATACATCATGGGTGAGACTGCTTGCTGCCAAGCTTGTGCGCCTTTGACTCTGCACCAGAGACACAGCTACATCTCTGCAGCGCCGCCGTCTGTCGCCCTGGGCAGGCACGCGAACTCCGTAGACCCCGGTAGTAAATTAAAGGCACAGACGATTGCTCCCTGCTGTTGCTGCTGCTATCATTATTGGCGGTGTGGCGGCAGCAGTAGTGGTGGGTTGTGCTGCTGCTGCAGCTGCTGCTGCTGCTGCTTGGGGTTGCGGCGGCGGCAGCGGCGGCGAGGTGCTTTCCTGCTGTGTCTTCGTGATGTTGCTTTCTTGAGCTGAGATCAACTCATGTCCCGTGAAGGATACTGTAGATAAAGAAAATATGTACGCACGTATCAAAATGTTCTTATTATTGTTATTATGATTACTATAACTACTATTATATTACTACTGTTACTATTGTTACTAATACTACGATTACTACGAATGCGACGATTACTATTCACATTATTGATATTATTACTATTATTATTATGATTATTAGTACTATGGTATATCACTATTATATGTATGAATATGCATATAAGACATGTTGAATATATCTATATATATGTGTGTATATATATATATACAAATATATATATATATATACATATATATATATATATATATGTGTGTGTGTGTGTGCGTGTGTGGTCATATGTGCACATATCCTGTGATTGCCTAGTCGTGTTGCTATCGTTGCTTGTCAGTTGGACGTTCATAAATACGGAATTGCTGGCAACGTGACGACACGATGTGCTTCCTTTTAACACTAGCAACATGGCTCGGGACTGAGGTTCTGAAGAAGAAGACTGTGGTTGGATGATGATGAAGAAGAGGATGCTGATGATGCTGGTCATGAGTCTGCCAGGCGCTGTCTAGCCAAGAGAGGCTGAGGAACGCTCATGCTGGCCCTGAGCCGTCCTGGTCATGATGGAGGAGGAAGACGAGGTGGAGGATGACGAGAGCAAGAGAAACGATGCTCCAATGACTGTGGCCTTCGTGATCACAGCAACGGCAATACATTGTCCTTCTTCCATGTCACGGTCCTTACACTAGGTACTTGTGGTGATTTTCGTGTCTGATCACTTGGACTGGAGTTGCGGTTCCGCACTGTCTATCCACAGACGAACCGCTTCGAAAGGCATGGCCAGGTCTCAGAACGTTACAAGGTCTACGCTGATGTTCCGGTGGCAGCCACGAGTCAGAAAAAGAACAAAACAACGCGGCGAAGAGGGCAGGGCAAAGGACATGGGCTCGTCCCACGGCAAGCACTGCAAGCACGCCCCCCCATTCACTGCTAGTTGGACAGTTGCGGGTGTAATCATTCTTGACTCGGAGCTGCTAGGTAGCATGTTACGCAGCTGCTCCTGCAGTAGGACACCTTGGCAGTCATTCGTCTCGCTTCTGCTAACCGTTGTGCGCGGACGGTTCAACCTCTGCAGTCTCCGGAGTCTCAGCCTTTTCTCTCTCCATCATCTTCCTTGCTCTTAACATGCCTCGCTGCTGTAGTTGTTGCTGCTGCATGCCTGAGGGCTTCTGCGGCCGTTGCAGTCATGGTCATCGTCGTCGATGTTGTGTTCCTAACCTGCTCCAATAGCAATATAGTGCTGTGTCGCTATTGTTGCCCTTGCTGTTTAATGTTGCTGTGACGGTGTTGCTGCAAGTGGTGCTCTTGCTGCTGAAGGTGCTGGCACCGGTGGCACTAACGGTTGGGAAAGCTCAACCCTGAAACATCCTCCAAGAGCCTACGATACCGTCTAAGCGCAGAAAAAGCCAGCAGGCCTTCAAAGGCTCGCGCTCGCCGTAGGGTTTTCGCCTGGGGAAGTCCCTACAGAAACCCTATAAGCACGAACCACTGGAAACCTTCGGCTTCTGCAAGCACTTTTGGGTTTCAGGCTTCGGATGCACAGCACAAACTCGCGGCTTCTCAGTTGAAAAAAAACTCTTAACTCCGACTCCGAAAATCCTTGTAGAACTGTTCGCGGCCCGGTGGCTCGATCCAAGATGGAGGGCAAGCGTACCTTAAGTATGCGCTACCGGATTGCCAGGCTCTGAGTACACCGTTTTGGGTTTTGGCATTTGGGGTTTAAGATTTTGAGGGTTTCGTGCTTGAAGGTTTTAGGGCTTTGGCCTTTGGGATTTCGGGTTTTGGGCTGGGTACCGGAGTTTAGTTTACATGCCAAGCTGCTCCTGTCAGCCAGAGCCCAACGATTATGCCACGGTGTGTTGCAACGTGACTGAGTATCATGGTTGTATGCACGACTCAGCATCTGTATTTAGCTCGGCAGGTTGAATAATGTACTAGCAAAGCGGTTGGGAGCACTAGTATCTGCTTTGTTTGGTTGATGTATGTATGAGCAATGCTTAGCACAATTATTCGGCCTTGGTGGGTTGAAGTGTGTGTGAGTCGCAGGCTCATGCAATACTCTGCATTGCAGGTCTCCCTAATGGGTTGAAAAACGTATGAAGAGGATGGCTTTACGCAACACTTAGCAAAACTAGTCTGAAATGAATCCTGAAATATGGCCTTCATGGCCCTGAGCCATGTCATCTGCTATGAAGACACATGGCGATTTAGGGAATGGAGGCATCACAAAGTTGATGGTGATGATGTGGATGACAACGGGGATGATTATCGTGACAATGTGATCCCTTCGCAGTGATGCAAAACACTCCCTTTCGCCAACTTTGCCAAAGGCACGTCCTCAACGATTCGTTTACCGACTTACTGTCCCTGCAGATACTTTTCTTGCCTGCAGTGTAGGCCACGTCCACGGCATGGTGAGCTTTTCGCACAACATCTTGGTCAGCGGTGCCACCCTAGTCGCATGAGCTGGCTTTCTCTTGGCAGCCGAAGTCATGACAGGGATCCATAACCTCCTCGAAGCCTGATGCAGAAGAACCACTTTTTCGCATTTGAAACTGCCATCCTTCGGAGATAACCTCGGGAATCTTCATTGCATGGTCGTCTGGATTCATCTCCTTGGCCGAAACCCAAATGCCGTGCTCGCCACCGACCTGTGCAACGAGCTTGTAGCCTTTGGCCCTCATGAGACCGTCCAATGCGGCCAAGGAGGCACCGGTCACCTCTCCCCCCCAGACCCCATCCGACTTGTAGGAGCGCACCTGCTTCTCGGAGCCCGTGAAGTAGCTGCTGAACTCGATGGCCACCACGCGCGGCTGGAAGCGCCCAAAGTCCAAGGCCTTGACGAGCCAGTAGTCATTCCAGTCCACGTCAACCGTCAGGAGATCGAATGCACAGGGCACCTGATGCATCTGGAATTTGTCGTTGATGTTCTCCGCCGTCATGAATGCCTGGCGCAGGCGCACCGGGGCATCGTCGGCTGCCTGGAGCAGGTCCTGTCCAGCGCAAGACGGGCAGCCTCCATTGGGCGAGTGCCCAGGGGCACCATCCAAGAGCAGGCCCTTCCAGCCGCAGTTCAGGCGAAAGTGGGCGGAGTTTAAGACTTCAGGCCGGCGGCTCCCGAACTCCACGAAGTAGGTGTTCGTGGTTCCGATGGCCTTGAATATGGCGTCGAGATAGCGGTCCTGGTTGAGCTGGCTGCAGATCGGAGACGCCTGGACCTGACTGAAGTCAATCACCTTGCTCTTGCTCACATTCGAGCTCGGCACGCCGCAGAATTGCTTCGTCCAGGCCTTGCCCTTGTTCTTGCAGTCAGTCGGCTCCAGCGAATGTCTCTTCACCTTGGCCCTTAGACGAAAGGCCGAGGCCACCAGGGGCAGCAAAAGCAGCAAGGCGACCTTCATGGCGCCTAGGCCTTGACGGATGAGATCTCCGTGATCTACGTTGCGGAACGGGGGGATTGAAGCTCCACTTTGGAAACCCTGCGAGCCAAAAGGAGCTCTCCGGCGGTGCCGCTAATTAGCGTCCTTGTCTTGTTGTCCTTATTGCCGTGGTCCTATAACCCAACATGAACAGCATTACCGTCACGATCCGTCTGCGACATTTTTCCTCTCCACGGCAGCATGATGACGTGCAATGACCGTGTCCTAAATCTAAAGAGCAGAGGGTGGTCTTGCATTATTCGGTTCAGGGATGCCATGCCCAGAAGCGCTTGTGCAGTGTATCTAATCTATGCCAACAGGGCGCCTTCGAGTGGGGATCTCCTCAGCCCCAGCAGAAGCTCGAACCGCCACCTTCAACCGGATCGCCCCAGGTGACGACCTTCCGAAGCGAAAGCTGAGGAGCAAGTTGAACATGGAGGTGCCTTTCTAGCCCTGGTTGCTTGCTGAACAAGGTCTCCTAGTCTCCGGGGTCTAGGGCGCGACCCTCCCTCAACTTCATATCATTACTCTCTCCATGCCTCGTGGCTGCAGTTTCGGCAGGGGTATTTTCGTAATGAAACGTACAAACCCCGACCCCCGAAGATGCCCTCCGAGCCCCACCGTTCCGTCACCGCAAATGGCTGCGAAGGCGCCATAAGTCGCCTCGGTTAGCAGCTTGGACTGGCTTCAGTGAGTCAGGTGTTTGAGAACCTAAAGTAGTTCTCCATATTAAGACTTAAGGGGATTTAGGTAGAAAACCAAAGGGGCATGACTCTAGTCATGAAAAGCAACTGCTTCAGAACTACCCAGCATCCCCCCCAAACTCGAAATGGCTCTCGTTGCGGCCTGCTGAAAGTCATGCGGCCAGGTCACACACTCGGGTTCTACAAATTATCTACAAGCCTGTGTAGCTACTGATTATGGGGCCCCTTGCGTGTTGGCCCGATGGCAAAACAAATCCAGCCGTCCCACCCACAGCAAATCCGCTGCCGGTAGGAGGAAACAACTCACCCTTTTCAGAGCGAAACTCTGAACCCTAACTGCCAAAATCTGCCGTTGAAGTTCATTTTTTGAATTGGCTTGCGTTATAGGATCCTGAATCCTACATAAAGAGCTCATCAAACAATAAACTTAAAAGCAACTGAAATGGATACAACCGTGCACTTGTGAACTTTGAAGTGTCTCCAAAGCTGCGCGGAGCTCCCTCACGTCGGTGAGGTTGGAGCAGTCCTAAGAGGCTTGAGAGTCGGGGTGGCTCTCTGGAAATTCATCAACATGTGTACATGTATGTCTACAAGAATATACGGATGTACATATTGTATTGCCTCCATATTAATTATTCTTGTTCTTGCTCATATGATTACTGTTAGTATTTCTGTTAGTTTCTTGATCATTAGCATTAATTAGTATTGGTTTGACTACTGGTATTCGGACCAGTTAGTCTCAGTATTACTACTATTACTCGGACTATCGTCGTTCAGTACTATTGCTATTGTCTTGTTTTGCTATTGCTATGAATATAACTGTTGCTATTATTAGAATTACGATCATCACACGTATGTGTAGGTGTCTGTGTATATACAGATACTCTTTTCTACACATGTAGGTGTATACATGTGTCTATATATATATATATGCACACATACACATGCCACGAAACGTCAGCATTCCAGTGAGTCGTGGTGACAGCACCCCCCCCCCCCAAGTGTTGAAGATACGCTGGGGTGGTTAAACCCATCAGCCTAAACCAGGTGAGCCGTCAACCCTGGTAAACATTGCCAGGTATAGCTTTTCCTGGGGACGAAGACTTGCATCGATCTGTACCACTGCGACCTCCAACATCTTGATGCCAACATGCAAAATCCGTGCACTGAAACCACGGATATCTAGCCGCTAACTAGGAAAATCACAGTAGAGGCTCTTCTGACTCCCCACCCCAGTTACTCAGTTCTGACCTGCGCCCCAGTAGCTTCCTCACCTCCATAATCTGGGTGGCCCCAGACCACCTCGGTCACTGACTCGTCTCGCTTCCGGAATCTTGGGGGTCTTACTTTAGAACTTCACATAGAGGGATGCTTTGGGTACATGTTGACTGTGGATGCGTCGTGATCAGCTCAAAGCTTAAATTTAAAACCCAAATCCGAAACCTTAATCCTCCTACCGCCTTGCCCTAAACGCTGAGGTTCTGAACCCACGCTTTCCGGTCCTGAACCGAAAAAACCTTACAGCCCTCAGACTCGAAAACCCTGCGCTCCCCGCTTGTTTCTTTCGGATTGTGCCCGGGGCGCCACGCGGCCATCGCTGCGAAGCGCTGCGAAGGCTCCGCCGTTTCCGGCCAGCTGGACGACCTCCTGGAGATCCTGTGGAAACGATGCGACATCTAAGCATGTGCATGTACATATATATATATATACATATATATATACATACATATATATATATTCTCATACAGGTATATATGCTTGCCTGTGTATACATACATATATATATATATATATATTTGTATGGAGAGAGAGAGAGAGAGAGAGAGAGAGAGAGAGAGAGAGAGAGAGAGAGAGAGAGAGAGAGAGAGAGAGAGAGAGAGAGAGAGAGAGAGAGAGAGAGAGACAGAGAGAGAGAGAGAGAGAGACAGAGAGAGAGAGAGAGAGAGTGTGTGTGTGTGTGCGCGTGTGTCTTCCCATTGTCTATTCACATACTTCTATCTCTCTCTTGACTCATGTATACACTGCAGGAAACTATGACATACCCCGTAGTAGCCGTAGAAAAATCAAGCCACGGTAATAGAGGCAGTTCGTCTGTGGTAATTCTTGCCACTGTTGAATGCTTGTGCGCCTGAAACACCGCACAACCCTCACGGTAAAACTGTCACTGACGCTGCTGGGCATGCTGCGTTTTGGAACAGACATCAAGAGACATCCGTGTCTGTGTCTCTTCTCACAAAGAACTGCCAGCAAACCTGACCCCCAAAACCACAGAGCCCTAAACCCTGAAGCCCCCCAAACCCAAACACTGCGACAGAACGTCTTTAAGACTGAGACTTCGAGGAAGAACTCGTTTCAGACTTCACAACTCATCCAGAACCTTCTGGACGTCGACAGCACCACCATATCCTTGGCTCAAGCGGAAGATTCCATGTGGAAGTGCTCCATTGAGCGGGATGTCGGGGCCGCTTACCCGGGCACAGAGATGTCAATGCTTGCATAGTGTACTACACGAGGACAAGGTACGTCATGTTTAAGGGTGAGGGTTATGGGGAATTCGAGTTGAACTGACTGGTCAAGGTATGCAGTGTAGGGATCTGGATAACTAACTAGCATATGAAGCTCAGGTTCACAGTAAGCCTGCAGCAAGTTCCACGGTCCTATTTACAATAAGCCCTGTAAGCCCCAAGCCTTGAACTGAACCCCCAAAGCCCTGAAACAGCCGCTTTCGATGACTCTAAACTCCAAGCTCTAAGCCCTAAGTATTCCGAAACCCCGACTCAACCCCTAAACCCGAAACCACTAAACCCCTAAACCCTAAACCCCTAAACCCCAAAAACCCTAAACCCGAAGGCCTCTGGCCAAGCTTCGCAGGTTTCCCCACGCCTCGACGCTGCCATCGATCAGAAGGGCTGCAAAAGAAAAAGAAGTTGCAGCAATGGACCTGGGGGGGGGGGGGGCGTACGGGGTTTAGGGGTTTGGGGATTTCAAGGTTTTTTGGAATTTCAGGGTTTTTGGGGTTTGAGTTATTGGGGGTTGAAGGTGTTTTGGGGTTTAGGGTTAGGGTTGACGTAGTATAGGGGACCAACACCACCCCCTGGCTGGCGAGGTGCTGCACCCGACGTTGCCCGCAGCCTGAACTGGGTTTCGATCAGTTAGACTCGGGATTGGGATAGTATGGTATACAGTATAAGTCTCTCTATGTGTATGCATCCCTCCCTCTCTTCATCTGATTTATAAACGAAATATCTGTGTTTATATATATATATATATATATGCAACCCCCCCCCTCCGGTACCTACCTTTTCCGGTTGGTGTGCTTTTGGGTATAAGCTTTCGGAATCTAGGTTGCAAAGAATACTGCACCATGTGGGTGCCAGTAAGCCGTTGCCACATACATTTAAATGCGTCTGCTGCATCATGCTTTGTCCAGTATTTGTCACCTAATGTTGACCTAGGATTAATAATCCCCCTACGATTAAAGGCGGCCTGCGGGCGGCTCCGGCCCCAATCTGTACTACTTTAAAGGCAGCACCCAAATAAGGATCGTTTTTTGCAGAAAACCCCCCACGATTAAAGGCAACACCGTCTGGGGATCTAAAATTTCAAAAAGTGCTTCGAAGACTACTTTTAAAGGGGGCAAGACTTGGTCTAGGCCTAAACCCTTCCCCGATATTAAACTTGAAACCTCATTGGCCCCAATACCGCTTCACGTTTTAATCCTCCAAAGTGGTGATTTCAACACTACTTGCTGTGTCGTTCCAAGCCCCCAAACAAGCTTTTTGAGCTATCCCCAGCAATCGTGTGTCACCCACGATTAATCAACGTCCCACGATTAATCAAACTCCTGTGGCACTGCTACTGCTACTGCTACTACTGCTGCTACTACGACTACTACTACTAGCACCACTGTTTACTGCAATTTGGCTTCACGGGATTATTTGGGGGTCTGTGATCCTGTGGGGGGCCTGCGACCTTGACAACCTTGAGGGGGGGGGGGTGGCGGGGGGGGGGGGGTTAATAATCAGGGGTCAACATTATGTGCCAGAAAGTGCTGTATTTGCTGCAGACAGAGCAGCAGGGTAGATGAGACACTGGTGCACATTGCCTATATGTGTATTTGCAGCAGAAGCAGTGGCATGTTCGCGCAGGCGTGAGCTCTGGAGTCAAAAAAGCCAGCAGATGTAACACAGACCAGGATATCAAGGTTATCACACAGCTCTGACTAAGGTTGTTCATAAGAGACACATTGGGGTTATGTTATAGTAATAGGTCGCACTGAGGCTACGATGGAGAGTCTGGAGGCTATATCAGGTCTAATAATAGGGTCAGCATTGACATAAGGGTTCATCATGGCAAGGACAGTGCGAGGGTTGATGTTGAAGTCCGACATGAGCATCTACAGTAAGAAGGGACCCATCATTGTATATTGGGTTACGCAAGCATGTACAAATATCATCCTTAAATCTACAGGCCATCAATAGAGCAATGCCACACCCAGAGAAAGTTGAGGTTCATGCTTATGAACAAAATGGTTGGACGGCTCATATTATTATTAGTAGAATGTGATGGTTACCACGGGGGTTAGTACTTGGGCCGTATCTAGCGTACCTGTACCAATACATGCAGCAACTAGCTAAGATTGGGGTCGCCATGACTTTTAAAGTTCGGGGTCCATGACTTCAGGGGATTCTCCTAAGCCCAGATATTGTAAGCTTCGCTGTTGAGAGCAGTATTCGGTACATTACGAAGAATTGCAGTAGGGATAAGTGATATTAAGTTTGCGAACAAGTCCATCTTAGACTCACATATCACGGTTGAAGGGAGACCCTAGTATCTGGGGTGCCAACCGGGTTCGTTTATGATGTTAGTTAGGCGAATGTCCGATCTCTGGTAGGTACGGGAGTTGACATGCGCACGACTGGGGTTACTAGTCGGCACAGCATTTTTTCATAATATCTATGGTGTTGATTGAGCTACAAGGCGCCTCTATCGGGTAAACATGAGTCAGAATAGCCGGGGTATCCAAACTACTACTAAGGCAAGGTTTATACGAGGCTAGGCTGAGGTTCGCCAAAAAAATGAACATTTTTCTGCGTGTTGTTTAGCAATACTATAGCCCACACTTGGAGTGTTTTACGCTGGTACGGAGGGCACCTCCCGATAAGCCGTAATTGTCTAAACCTAAATTCCCCAGTAGTATACTCTTTTGCCCTTTTTCCTGTTTTGGGAAATCCATTTTTCATGATCAGCATGAGTGTCACAGGAAGCTAAATGGGGGGCGTGATCCAAGAGAGACTGCGAGAGGAATGTTTGGGCGAATGCACTTGGAGCAGAGTCGGCCCGATTCAAGTTGAATCGGCCCGATTCAATTGAATCGGGCCGCGGATTCAAGATTGAAGATTGAAGATGCCTGGAAGAAGTTTCCCAGGGATCTTCAATCTTCAATCTTGAATCCGCGGCCCGATTCAGTTGAATCGGGCCGATTCAACTTGAATCGGCCCCGGCAGCACGTACCACGAGTCACAACGGCGGACGGCCCAAGAGGCTAATTACTTTAATACGGTGAAGTCATTACTTATAGCACTGTCAGTACAGATAGGGCTTGCGGGCACAGACAGGGCTTGTCGGGCACCTCCCCACCCTGGTACCAATCCAAACCAGTATACGTGTCAGCCTATAGCATTGGTAACCACACCGAAAAGGTAGGTACCGGAGGGGGGGGGTACCATATATATATATATATATATATATATATATTGTGTACTGCTACTACCATATTATTCCGAGTTCGTGGGGCTTCGGGATTCGGATTTCGGGCGTGGCAGCTTGCAAGAGAGCTTTTGGGCGTTGGGAGTCTGACAGTTGGGATTCAGCTCCCTGCGGGACAGGGAAAATATGGGAGTTTCCGAACATGGGGGGCCCAAATATAGTACCCTAAATAGTAGGATCCTTATTATAAGGACCCCCCAAAATTAGGGTACCCAATTTTCGGAAACTTCCATATGTGACAAAAAAGCGGATCGTCCAAAAGGCCCTGGCCTCCCTCGCAGGAGCCCCAGGTCACGACACTGCCATCCTGATACGCGGAAGGGCAGAGGTCCCGCGAATCTGTCAAGATTAGGGTCCCTTTTTGGGTCCTTATTATAATACGGCACCTAATATTTAGGGTACCCACAAAGGGACCATCATTTTGACAACCACCCATTTGGAACTCAAAGCCGAAATCACTGCGAGGCAGAATGCCGAACCGCAACCCCAGACATAAACCGGCAACCGTCAAAGTCATGACTTCAGCAAAAGGAACCACCTGAATGTGCACAACTGCATGTCGAAGACGGGACTTACCCGCCGGACTTTACTTCGTAGTCAGTCAGATTCATTCAAAACCTTCTTCACGCTGCTCCTGCCCCTCCTCCTCGACGACGGCTACTTTGGCTGTATTAAATACTGTTGTACCGTCACTCTTCCCATGCATGGCCTCCCGGTGGATCGCAGCGAATGCCTTTCCGGAGCCCTCGACAGAGACGCAAGCCGGGAGGGTCATATTACAAATCTGTCCAGGACAGGAACGGGGCTGTTCCAGAACGTTTCGTCTAACATAGGTTCGGGCCCTCTGATAGTTCCACAACGCTTTGGAAGAAAACCCTTGCTGACTGTTGCGGCTTCTACAATCCCGCTGCCGCTCCACTTGCAAACTGAGGCAAGTAGGGTTGCGCCATCCTCAAGGGGGTGTTTGCAAGGGCTTCTACCAGGCTTCGTACCTGGCAATCACGATTGGGGCTTAGATTGGGGGGCTGAAACTTGTAGTACACCTTGCCCGATGGCCATTACTTCAAAAGGCGAGATTTTCATCTCGCTTGTCCGTTGAGCTTGCATCTGTGAATCTTCTTCGACAACCTCACACAGCCTATACTGTGTTCAGTTTTGGCCGCAGCAATGGCCTAAGCTCCGGAATCCTACGGCTATGGTTGTACAGACATGGCAAAGCTCTGCTTCACTGCGTCTCTCATCCCATCGAAAGATGCTCCATGGCCCCTGCAGCTGTCTGACTAGAACCTTCAAGTTCATCCTGCTCGCCGTTGGGTCTCATGCCTCTATGCCGTAGACTCATGAAGCCGCAGCAGCGCTGCGCCTGGATGTCGCAGAAACCGCCTCTGCGGAGAACTCCTTGAAGAGGCCCAGGGTCACCGCCTGGGACGAGGTACAGTAGAAGCCAGAAAGTTGGAATATCATTATCGTAACCCCTTTAAGGAAAACTATAGGGGATCCTACCATTACTCCATATTCTAACTTTCTGGAGTTCCCTTTATGTGAGTTCTCGAAGGCAAGAGTTTGATCGCTTTCTTGTCAAACTCTATGAGAGATTCTGAAGCCAAAGCTCTATGGGTTGATTGATTAGAAGGGGCCCCCACCCTGTAATAGTGGTATGATAGGAATATAACAGTAATAGTGGTATGATAGGAATATTGTAGGGCCCTAATACACTCCTTATAGTCACTATTACAATTACAGGGTGGGGGCAGCTTCTAATTGATTGATTTCGAGCCTTGAGGCCTTGCAAGACTGGAGATCGGAGGTTCAGCCCTTCAGTCGTTCACGAAATGGGCATGAAGCCTACACCCCGAACCTCAACCCCCCAACTGTAGTTGCAAAACACATCAGAACCGTTTGATTATATGCTTGTCGCGGCATGGCTCCCTCTCAATCATCAAGCCGGACCTGCACAATTCAATTTGGGACCTCTGCTGCCTGATGTTGCTTCGCCCCAGGGGATGACAACTCCATCCGAACGACGAGCCGCGAAGGCGGAACTGGTGGCCTTGTCAAGCGGCTTGGAACGGCTGCAGGGTGGCGTGAGAAGTTAGACAAATAATACGTTTTACGGCTTATCTAAGACATTCAAGTTTCGGAGCATTAGGTATTTGCCATAAACGCGGCCAAACTGCTGTCCGTCTTCAGGCTGGGACTAGCATCCCCAGTAACTCGGGAACAAAAGGGCGTCCTGCTTGGTATTGGGTAGCTTTATAAGGAACCTAAGACAAAAAAGGGCCTACTGGCAGGCCCCGAAAAACTACATGTGGGAACCAAAGCAACCACAAGAAAGGACCCCAGGTTGCACCGTTTACAAGGCTGCTTGCCGAGTAAGGCTCGTCCATGCCAATATAAGGGTGCAGCAGCCCCATTACAGTGACATGTAGTTCTTTGAAGCGGCGGTCCTCAGAGAGCCTTGCGTATCCCAAAGGAAGCACAGGCAGCAGGGTCAGACAGTCTATGCCATCAATCTCCCTCCTGCCTAAGGCACAGATTAAGCTTTTGGGGAGCAATTCAGAGCGTGGTAGGGACTGAGTCGATCTACTACTGCCCTGAATGGATATTGCACGAACCTCGATCTGGCAAATGTCAACAAGATCTTCGGCTGCAGCACCTTCAGACTGTTGCGTGCAGCTTACTCTCTCTGTCTCTCTGTCCCCATCTCGCACTGTCTCTATTTCTTTGTCCTTATCTATGCATGTGTATATACATACACACAAACCCATCCATCTATCCATCTATCCATCCATGCATGCATGCACATAAGAGCATACTTGCACAACCCACTATGTACATGCCCGACGCATGCATGCCTGCATGCTTTCATGACATAGAGAGTGAGAGAGTGAGAGAGAGAGAGAGTGTGTGTGTGTGTGTGAGAGAGAGAGAGATAGAGATAGTCATTCAGATAGAGATAGCGATAGAAATAAGAATGAGACAGAGGTAGAGACGTGGACAGATACAGAGACAGGGACAGAGATAGAGACCGAGCAGAGAGAGCACAGAGAGAGAGAGAGAGAGAGAGAGAGAGGGCGAGAGGGATAGAGAGAGGGAGGGAGGGAGAGAGCGAGAGAGAGAGCGGGACAGAGAGAGAGAGAGAGAGAGAGAGAGAGAGAGAGAGAGGGAGGAGGGAGGGAGAAAGAGAGGGAGAGAGAGAGCGAGAGAGAGAAAGAGAGAGGGATAGAGAGAGAGAGAGAGAGAGAGACAGGGAGAGAGAAAGAGAGAGAGAGAGAGAATGTGTGTGTGTGTGTGTATGTGCCTGTGTGGATGCTTATCTTTTTAAATTTTTGTTGTGGTTAATCGTTTTGCATGTATGGTTGCTGAGGTACATGTCGCTAAAAAGCGTGTCTGTGTATCTATCTGAATACGCATCTACTTCATGTGTCTACCTAGAGATACCAGATAGTGTCACTATAGTCATAGCCTGCAGTGGCACCCAGACAAGAACCTACAAGACACTTGGCGTGTGCAGCGCACACACGCAGAGAAGCGCTTACACACATCTGTTTATGCACACGCTTTTTGGAGATCGGCTTTCTTCGTATGTCAATGCTACATGTATATGATACTCGCCAACATGTTCACACGTACATGTATGTGCATATATACAGATGTACTTTTCCGGCCCTTAGCGGCCTGAGCGTGGATCAGTGGACCTTCCTTTGAGGCATGACGATTACAGTCATTTCAGTTGCGACTCGTGTAGCACCAAACCCTTTGCAAATGCAAGATCCGATGTTCCGAGCACCCAAGTAAGGCAGCCAAAGCGCCGACATCGCCGCCTTGCTTGACATCGCCCCAAGCGACCACTTTTCCGCCCTCTTCGAGAACTGCAGCAAACGCATACCTTCCCGAGTCCCAGGGGTTGAATTGATATTATGCGAGATCTGGTTCAACACTCCCAACGACTTATACTTGGGTGCTCTGGATCTTCTGTTTAACAAAGACCAGGGACTGGACGCTTTTTCAAGCAGCATGCACGGACAAACCTGTTCGAAACAAAACTAGCAGGCCAGGACAGTGCGGCCGGTAGGCATTGCCATATATTCCCGCGCCTCCTGGGCCTTGTCAAAGTCTTCAGACTCTCTCGAAACATGAAGTCCCGACAGAACTTGGAATAAGTTAACGACCTTAGGAGCACTTCTACCAAGGGTAGAATCAGAAACAAAGACTCACCTGCCTTGCTGATGCCAGGAGCCGCACCCCTCACAGAGGCTGCAGGCGCGAAGTTTTGGAGTTGGAGGATCAAGCTTGAAACTTCCAACAGTAACAAGCGACGATGGCTACACACCAGCCGGCTTTGCCAAGTATCGGGAAATGCGTCGGCCTATTGTTGTTGAAATGACCCGGGCCTTCCTAGCACCACCACCACTGCTACTGCCGCTGCTTCAATACTACAAGACTACACCGATACCACTGCTGCTGCCACGCGAGGCTGTTGGTTGAGCCAGGCTCTCTATTGAACAGTGCCCTGATCGTAAACACCAATCATCAACACTCCGCCATGTTCCAAAAGAAGGCGAAAGGACTTCAGGACCAGCACCTAGCTTCTTGGACTAAGCCTCAAAGTCCCGAAAGGATTCAAACCCGGTTAAATCGCACAACCAGTAGCCCGAATTAGCCCTGCCATTGTGGAGAATCCCGGAGAGGGGCCGCAAGAACTTGAAGGTGGTAGTTCACTTGAGCTCCCAACAGCTCCGAGTTGGTTATTCACATGACAAAGAGTTGGTATTAGTTACATGTTGATTCACTGATGTCCCCGGTTACCTTCTTTCAAATCTCGGCGCGCCGGGTAAAACCGCGCACACCCCAGAACTCAAATTGCCTCGGAGGTGGTCCACGCAGGCACTGCGATCCCGGCCACACCAGGTGACGACCTGATGTGTCTTGGAAAAGGAGGGACCCTTAATGGGGACCCCTACCCCATGATGGGCTATATAATGGGTATATAATAGCTACATTAAGGGTATTGCGTGTTGTCGCTGGAACTCTGCTGTAGGCAAACATGGATTTCTGAGAGAGGGAACGTGGCAGAGCACACGAGTTGCATCTTGTTCAGCGTGATTGTGGTTGTTTTGTCCATTTTGCAATGTCCCCCGCTGTGGCCGCAGTCCCTCTGAAATCCAACTCTCAAACTCATTCCCGTCCAACTTATCATGCCGTTGCCAGCGGCCCGACCGTCAGAACGCAGTGCCGCAAAGGCATCATACCTGTTTGGCTGGTTGGGGAGTAAAAGCATATAGAGCACCCTGTATTTTCTGTGTTGATTGGCCAACGTTGTTGAAGGTGGTAGCGCAGCCGGGAACACCAGATTCGGGATCTTTGAAGTTGGAGATGCTGCTGATGCGGCTGCGGTCTGTCAAGTGCAGCTGTTTGAGACAAGCGAAATGCAGAAGCACCAGCATGGACACAACCATTCACGGCTTCTGGCTGTCCGACATGTTGAATGGTAGCTAAATACGAGTTGCTCTTGCCAGCGGCAGCGAATTGGTGCTATTACTATGGTTCTCTTTCAATGCTTCCACACCTTTGTGCGGATGTACATGAAGATCACCGGCATACAGCCCGTACGCTCAAGTCTAAACACGGCAAGGGACGATGCTCGGATGTCACGAACATCGCATAGCTCAGTCTGCCTCAGATACAATGAATCGCAACTTAACTTCTCGTTCTGAGCAATACGCTCGGCACTAGGCCATTTAAGTTATTGCAGCACTCGATCTGCCTTACATGACTTACACCCTTTACGAGCAGGGCGGATTCCCAAGACCAGTTTGCCACAAAAGGATCCGGGCATGCAGCGATCCCTAGTAAACATCAGCTGGGGCCCTACGCCCGTCGCGACAAAAACAGTCTCCTCCGTCTGCATTGGCCAAAGCTACACCGCTCTGCTGTCAGCACCGTATCCTCGCAATGATTGCAAGCACAAACAGCACAGTAATTTGCTCGGAGCCGCTGGGAGGAGGTTCTCTGGCGGTGGCGTGAGGGCCACCGCCGACGGTGCTGGTTGTGGCTTTGAGGGCGGTGAAGGTTGTATCTGCCTTTTGTCCGTCTTGTTCTTGCTCTCGCGACTTACATTTGTGCTTCGCTGCATCGGGTTTTTCAGTGTACATTTGATTTTCTTAGCGTTAGTTCTTCCGGTGATGTAGGTGTCGAGGTTGGGAACCATCCTAGCCAGGCCAGCAGGAGCCAGCTTCGTATTGCATGGGACTCAGGACTTGCAAACAGAGATTCCCACAGAGACCCTGCAATAACAATCCAAAGCCGAAACCAACATCCCCACAATAAAAGCCAAACATGCTCAATAAAAGCCAAACATGCTGAGGTTCCTTTGAATCTTCAGCTGTTCACCCCGATAACCCTTGACAGTAATCCTAATGTTGAAAACCCCCAACCTCAAAAAGCCACCCCAGCTCCTAAACCTTGAAATGCAAACTATGATCGCAACCAGAGTGTCGCTTGTCTCCCCAAGTGACCACTCCGCCATTCGCCAAGCGTGCCGCTGCCGCCTCAGGATGTGGGGTGATGGGGGTGCTTAGCCGGATGTCCCTAGAGCTCTGAAAAACAAGCGCTGACGCCTTGTAAATTTAATATTATTATTATTATTAGTAGTATTATTATTATTATTATCATTATTATTATTATTATTATTATTATCAGATTCTCAACTGCCTGTGCGCCTGATAGCTCCACTTCACACGGCTCGAAGCCTGAACCTGAAACCACGATTTAACCCTTTCGACCCTTGGTTGCTCGTCCTTCTGGAGATCCCCTGAAGGTTTAACCCCGACACCGGAGGCCCTTTCAGGATTAGGGATTCTCGGATTTTAGGATTTTTTGTTTAGGGCTCTTAGGAGACTAGGATTTCAGGGCTTTGCGGCTTTAGGGCTCAAGGGTTTAGGGATTTCGCGTGTAGAGTGCTTCGGGGGTTTTCGGGCTTAAGGTTGGGTTATGCACGTCAAACCTCTCTCTCGCTCTCTCTGTACTCTTTGGCTAGCTAGGTTGCTGCATGAGAGAAGATCACATCCTCCACTTCTTTCAGCTGCTCCTGTGCGGCTCAAGGCAGGAGGGAAGGGTTTGAACGGATAGGCAGCTGAGTTCGGTCTCAAGTTCCTGGTCTCAAGATCAATCTGCGTCGCAGCACGTAGGAGACAGCAACTACGGTATGGCATTCAAATCTATTGACGGGGCGGGGCCTCGGGGACTCCGAGAAACCTCCAGTTCGAACAGTGTTCTGAAACCAAGCCTTGAGGTCCCATAGTATATTATAGTATATTATAGTATACTAAGGTATATCATAGTATATTATAACATATTATAGTATAATGTGGGTGTCGGTTTTGGAATATAGGCTCCTTTAATGCGTCGGCTCCGGGGCTAATTCCGAATCTGACCAGAAATTTGGGGGTACTAATTAATGCGTTTTTCTTTTGGCTGGGGTGATTTTTTGGTGGCGGGGCTGTGCTATTTGCTGATGGTCAATCTTAAGGCAGCCACGACCTCAAACCCCCACCCAAACCCCCACCCAACCCTAAAACCCTGGCCCTGAAGCACGAAAATCTCTTGCAGAATTGTTTCGCTTATTGGGGCGTCAGGAATGAGACTCTGTACTACTACTGTACTACTACTGTACTACTTTTGTACTATTGTACTGCTACTGTATGCCTTGCTTATTGGGGGGGCTGCTAGGGTGAACCGCCGAATTGGGAATTGGACCCTTGCTCGACAAAGGCCTCTCCAGTACTAAAGTTTGTATAAAAAATTCAATTTTGGGTCGAATCTGGACTGACCCCCCTTTGGGAAGGGTTTCGGGCTTAGGGTTTAGGGTTTGTTCGGGTTTAGGAGTTTAGGATTCGTTAGGGTTTAGGCTTTGAAAAGGGTTTAGGGTTCAGGGTTTAGGGTTTAGGGTTTCAGGCGCTGGCTTTATGCTTTGCTTATTGGGGAAATGTGCTCACTGGCTTTATGCTTTGCTTATTGGTACTATTTCTGTACTATTACTGTATTACTACTGTACTACTGTACTACTGTTGTACTACTGCTGTACTACTAGTGTACTACGGTACTACTATTGTACTACTACTGTACTATTACCGTACTACTGTTGTACTACTGTACTATTATCGTACTACTTCTGTACTACTATTGTACTACCACTGTACTACTGTTGTATTACTAGTGTACTACTGCACTATTATTGTACTACTACTGTACTACTATTGTACTACGGTAGTATAATTGTACTACTACTGTACCACTATTGTGCTACTATTGTACTACTGTACTATGATTGTACTACTACTGTACTACTATTGTACTACCACTGTACTACTGTTGTATTACTATTGTACTACTGCACTATTATTGTACTACTACTGTACTACTACTGTACTACTATGGTATGTACTACGGTACTATTATCGTACTACTACTGTACTACTACTGTACTACTACTGTGCTACTGTTGTACTACTAGTGTACTAGTATTGTACTACTACTGTACTACTATTGTACTACCACTGTACTACTGTTGTATTACTATTGTACTACTGCACTATTATTGTACTACTATTGTACTACTGTACTATTATTGTACCGCACCAAGCTTCAGACGTGGTCGATTGTGGGTGGGAGTGTGGGAGTGAGTGTAGGTTACGGAGTCAAAAGTGTTCAAAATGAAGGGTCTTTAGTCTTGGTAGTAATCTTGGAGTGATCGGGGCTTGGTTTCCAGCATTTGGTGATCCCCAGACCCCCCCGACCACAGACCGCGCATTCGCGCAGAACCGCAGACCCTGCACCCAAGCCAGCCCCCAAACCCCGGCACCTCCCCCTGTCCCGGCGTCACCGGCTCCACATTAAATAGAATTTTTTTTTTGGGGGGGTACCCCACTATTAAACCGACACCCACATTATTATGGTATATAATAGTATATTATAGTATATTATGGTCTATTATGGTATATTATGGTATATAATGGTGCATTACATGATAGCTAGCCACCCTCAATCTCTCAAACGGATCGGAAACGTGCACCCCGTGTTGAATCGAACATCCTAAGACAGGTGCTGGTGATTCGATGCTACTGGGGCACTCCCGTTCTGAAGCTCTTTCTAAATCAGAACCATATCATATCATTCGGACAGATCTCGGTTCACAACCTTCAACACCCCAACCTAACAAAACTTTACAACCTTGCCCGGTAAACCCTTGCGAGTTCTGATGTGTAGGATGTTCGCCAGTTGTATTCGGTATCGCCTCTACTGTCATGACTATAGTGCTTCGGTTGCTGTTCTTCAACCAAGATGGAAATTAACAATCAAGCGGAACCCCAAAACACGCACAAGTCCTGCACGTCGCTGCAATCCCCGCCCAATGACCGGTTGCCCCAAACCACCAGCGAGCCGTCCCCTGGGGCTTGCAAATTTGAAGTTTCATGTTCCTGTTGTCGAATTCAACTCGCTTCCAGGTCCGACTGATAGTCAAACGTGCTTGTGCGCACATGCAGGGTTTAGGGTTTAGGGTTGTGCAATTCAGTATATGTATTATCCTTGCATGCAGGTAGACAAGCAAGTAATATCACGCACAGCGGAAGTTGCGAGTATAGGTTGGTGCTATTTTGCATGAAGTTATTTATGCAAGAGTTCGTGTCTTCTTATTGATGTACATACGTATACAGCCATATGTAGTAGGTAGGTTGGTAGGGGTGGGTTTGTAGGTAAGAAGGTAGGTGGGCAAGTGGGCAGGCAGGCAGGCACGGAGGAGGGTAGGAGCTAGGTAGGCACGTACGGTAGCGACATGACATGACATGACATGACATGCGCTGTTACCAGTCTGTTGTGTATGTCTGTATGCACGTGGTTAAGCGCGTGTGTGTGTGTGTGTGTGTATGCGTGTGTGTGTGTGGAGTCACTCCCGGACAGCAGATTACTCGCAGGCAAGGTGCCGATGAAGATGATGATGATGACGATGATTATGAGCAAGAACAAGAAGAGTAGTATTGTGACAATGAAGATGTTAATGATGATGATGATGATGATGGGGAGGAGGAGGAGGCGGAGGAGGAGGAGGAGGAGGAGGCGGAGGAGGGGGAGCGGGAGGGGGTGGAGCGTAGCGTCTATACCAGGCACCCTGAACTCTAAATGCTTAGGCTTAGTTTCTGAAGCCCCCATAAGGCCCCGACCCTATCTTCTCATAGTCCAAGATGCGTCTTGGCAGGGCGAAGGCCTTGCAACGAAGCGAGTAGTTGTGGGGTTGGGCAAAACAAGGCATTGAATGTTGTAGTTGTATAGACTGCTACATATGAAGGTGTTCCGGGCACTTCGAGTATTTATTCAGGCCAGCATGGCAAACAGCTACATGATATCTACACATTTCATGACAAGACTCGTCTAAAGGCCGGATCGAAGGGGTATGTGTTCAAAATGTAAAGGGTAAGAAGGGCAAGAAGCATATATGCACAATGACGAAGATCTCACTCTAGGCTTTTGCTTTGTCAGGCTTGGAGGTCCATTGGGCGCTGCATGGTGTTTCGACGACACTCAGACCAAGCCACAACCTACCCGACACTGGTCTCACCGGCCCAGCACCGATTAGATATGCAAACCCCATCAGCCCAGATCACTTGCAGCCCGAGCAGCGTGCGCCAGGCGGTTTACAGGGGGTGGCCTGCCCCAAGCGTACACCGTCACGAGAGAGGAACAGAAACCAAGCTGGATCAAATCAGGACTGGCTGTCCTAAACCTCAAACACAAGCCCTGACAGCTAAAAACGTAAAACCAAAGACATGGCATGAAAGGCTTTGAGTTATTTGAACGAGCGAAAAGGTCGCTTAGCGTGTGGGGCCTAGTGAACAGCATACAAAGAAGAGATTTCAATATATGCAGAGCTTTAGATTACAGGCATGGGCTCCGCAACGACGGACAGCATTTGGCATGGACTCATGCCCCCTTTGCACTTCCGGCATTACGACTTTAAGATCAGATGTATCAGTGAAGGGTTCAGCCGTGATTTACATGGAATGCGGTTTCAAGAACGTGCGGCTGGTAGGGTGTGCAGGGTATGTGGGCATCAACTGCCTCCAAGGCTTATGCTCATACGCTGTACCCCCCAAAAGAAAACCAATACCTAAACCTGGCACGATAGCAAATTCCGACAGGGGACATTGCTAATTGATGCTAAACCTTAGATTTGACGCCAACAGCCCCATTTCCTAAAATCTGAACTCGAGACGTACACACGAAAGCCAAAAACCCCAGCCGCATAGACTTGTTGCCGAGACTGTACAATAGCAACGGCTGTGGCAACTCCAACCCCTGAAGCCCAACACACAAAAAAAACTAAGCCTTCAAACCCTAAGCCCAAACCGCCCAAAGATCCAATCGCCTAAGGGACTAGAAATCCTAACCAAACCGCATAGGCCCCATAATGAAGCCGTCTAAACCCCCAAAACCGACACAAACTCTCTACAAAATTAAAGAAAGCCCTCCAAAGGCCCATAAAAAAAAATATATATATATATATATATATCCATATATCCATATATATGTATATGTATATGTGGGTGTGTATATATATATATGTGCATATTCATATTTATACTTGTGTATATACACAAACCCCAATAAGACCCCCGATAACACAAATTCAAGCTCGATCCTCCGAAGAGTCGCTGCGCTCAAGGTTTCTCCATCCTTGATACCCAGCTCCTGCACATGATCACAGGGGGGGGGGGTAATTTTTTGGGCTTTTTCTTAGAATTCCGGCACGGGATCCCGTAAAGGGACTGTTCAAGGATCCCTCAAAGGAGCCCTTGAAGGATCCTTAAAGCGATATAAGACCTTGAGTTTGGGGTGCAGGATGAGGAGAGGGTGGGGTCCGTATTGCGGCTTAGGATTTAGCTTTTGAGGCGTACTGATGCTTGTGATTTCGGGGTTGTTGGGTTCGGGACAGGTTTTGATGCAGGCGTTAGAGGCCTGATAAAACCTGATCTTGTCTATGTCGGTGACAACCGGATTTTCCGTCAAGATGTCATCACAACCACATTCTTCGTGGTCCATTTTCTGCAGGTGGGGGCTGCAAGATGTTTTCTGGAAGTGTAAACGATGTGTGCATGTACGTGATTATCATATACGTACATACGTACATACTTGATTACTTGCATGCATGGGTACACACAACACACATGCACACATGGACATGTTGTTCAGATATAAAGAGAGAGAGAGAGAGAGAGAGAGAGAGAGAGAGAGAGAGAGAGAGAGAGAGAGAGAGAGAGAGAGAGCGAGCAGAAGCGCGAGAGCAAGAGAGATAATATTGAGAGATCGAGAGATAGAGATATACAGACATAGAGATATAAGAGAGAGAGAGGGGGGAAAACACACAACAGAGAAAACAAGCCTGTCCCCCAAAGCTTCGTGACCTAAGCTGTCTGATCCCACGCTGTCCTCCAGTGTGGAGGCTTCCCGAAGTCGGCAGCCACTCGCCCGGACCTGGGGCAGCAGTAGGAAAAGTGAAGGTGGGAGAGCAGGGCCGGTTGGGGACTCATAATATGCAATATACAACACGCAACCTGAAAACTTACGACATTCAATATGTCAATTTTAAAAAGCATCTTTGTATCGGCACCCTGTTGAGTCCATGGACCTGAAATCACCTGCCTGGGTTCACTGGCATGCCCTGAATGGCCCTTAGATGGAAGTATCAACAATGCCGCGATGCGATGCGATGCGGCCAGGCGATGACTACTGTGAAGGCTAACCCAGACGCCGTAGAAACTACTTAGTAATGAACCCACAAACAGAATCATTCAACATCTCCTAAATGAACACGGACGGTTCTCAGAGCACGAACCCTGCACCCCGAAGCAGGCAAATCCCGTCAAATACGTATTTACATACACCCTAGTATACGCCAGACAAGCATCATGCATAACCACTCAAAACATGCAAGACTCCAAGACTGCATCGAGTAATGCACACTCCGAGACTCACCGTAGGACCCTGAAAGTTACACATACTTCCTGAGCCCAACCCTCCATTCCATGCTCAGGCTGATTGGCCTGAAAAAAATTACACCCTCCAAGCCTGCAAGGCCCCGCCCTCTCTACACCCAAAACCGTACAGCACACCCCAAACCCTAAATTCAAGACCCAAAAATTCTGGACGCAAACTCGGAAATGCCACCACTCACCATCCCAAACCCTTCGTCTTCGAAGCCATGGTGCGAGAACATCTAGGTGACAATTCAAGGCCTGTTGTGCCTGCCATTTCACCTGCGTCTCGAATGGTTCAAAAATTATCAAAAGTTATAATAATTAACCAGTTTGATATACGGTTTTACTGAAAAGCACTTTGAAGGGGATACGTGGCTTGTAACCAACTACAAATTCCTATCCCATGTCGCCTTTAGTCTGTATGCAGCCTCAAACACGAAGCTTTTCGTGTCAGAAAGCTTGGGGTGGTTGCGGTTTGGATCTTCGGATCTCGCTTCGTCCGGTTCCAGGGCCTGGGATCTGGGGTTTGGCTCGTAGAGTCGTAGAGCTTATGCTTCAGGACGTTGAAAAACTAGGAGTTTCCGAGAATAGACCCTAATATTGTGCCCTAAATAGTAGGACCCTTATTACAAGGACCCCAAACTAAGGGTTTTCGGAAACTCCCATCTAGGATTACAGGGTTTCAGAGCCTTCAGGGTTGACACTAAGCAAGTGAGGAGCTGTGGAACACGCCGGTTGCCTTGAAGATGAACTTGGAAGCGTAGCATCCCCGTGGCTACAGGTTTCCAAACGTTTGGACAGCAATTAGCCCAAGACCCCTGTTCCCCAAGCATTGAAGCTGGGATGGAATGCTCTGAGGAAGAAAGTGCTCTCGGATGCCTCATAGAGCGGCGTGTTCGGGGCCGCCTGGACTCGTGACTGCCGGTGATTTCTTGCAGCTTGTACCTACCAGCCCATAAGGATCCTCAGTACTCATATGCGGGGGCCTTATGACAAACCACTACGGTGAATCCTGATGCAGAAACCCAGAAATCTAGAGTGTAGAACGCCCTGATGGCCCGTTTTTCCGTGCTTTGCACCCTGTCTGAACACCTACCAGGTAGGTATTTAGGGCCTTTTGGGCAAAAACACACATGATCGGCATCGCAACCCAGAGCTAAAAGAGATTTCTCATCATGTTATCGACAGCTACTGAAGTTCTCCGTGTTCCCAAGCGCACTCATCTTTCGAGAGACACAAAGAAATTCTGACACTCTTAGCAATCATAAACCTTCTCACGCTCCCTAATGCCAAATTAGGGCTTCGGATTCTGATTCAGACCATACCAAAATAAGCTACAAGACAAAAAGGTACACGCATCATACTATGCTTTGCTATGCTATACTAAACTTAACTTACAAAAACAGAAAAACAGGTATTAATTCTAGTGGATCGAAAGAGTCTGCAAGCCGAAGCTTCCATGACGAAGCCCAGCACCCAAGCCTGTCGAAAACAGTACACCACACCCAGTTCGCTCGCGGACCGCTCGACTCTCAGAGAAATCAAAATCCGAGTCGCAAGAATTGCCTAACAGGTTTTCTCGCCACTAGAGGCAGCGAAGCCTCAGACAAAATTACAACACTGATCTTTTGAAACGCTAACGTTACCAAACCCCGAAAAACATCTTTCCTGCGTCGCACCTTGACAGTGGCTGCCTGGCCACTCAGGAGCGCCACATGCAACGATTGCTCCATGGTGCTTTGTAGAAAGCTGGCTGTTTCAGTGTGTGTGTGTGTGTGTGTGTGTGTGTGTGTGTGTGTGTGTCTGTGTGGGGGGGGGGGCTGAAGCTCTCGCATCATTCCCTACACAGCCGGCAAGGCATGGATAGCCACATTGACTAAACTTGGCACCCAAAGCCAAACCATGACATCTCACTTGTGCGATGCGTGCCATGTCGGCTGTAAGCCCGAAGAAGAGCGAGCTTCACTTCTGCATCGCACAGGCCATCGGAGTATGCGTGGTGGCTTTCATTGAACTTGATGTGCCCGTCCTTGTAATCGGAAACAGCCACAAAATGCACAATCGCCATTATCGTTTGAGCTTCCAGGCTCAAGCCAACAAGCCCGGTGTGGGGATACATGACTGCAGGCTTATGCTTTGCCGACGGTTCTTCCCACGACTTCTGTGAACTGCTCCATGAAAACCTGATATCGGGAGAGCAATGAAGATGAGGAGCAGCAATGCTGTATCCGGATGTATGCAAGGCTTTTCCTGCACTCATAATTCACTCAAAAGCTTACTCTCATTCATGCCGGGTCGCGCTGGGACATGTGCGGGGAAGGGCCCCAGCCAAGGCAAATTTGAAAACGAAGGGGCAGGGCAGGACCGTGCTGGCCCTTGGTCAACTGCAGCTCTCGTTGGCCACATCGGCTTGTAGACCACGCGATACGAGGAAACCGCCTTGGTCGAGAACGATATCCAGAAAGAAAAGAGACATCAGCTGCTGCCGGCGAGCCGTGGGCAGCTCATGTCTACGCACGGCCGGACGATTCCGCCGTCCTTCTTGACAGAGAGGTGATCTCTCTGTCAAGAAGGACAGCGGAGATCGATCCCGTCACTACGGTAGTGATCGAAACGATCACACACATCACCCTTGTACCTGTTTCGGGCCAGGTCGTGCTGCTAGCACACAGCTGTGATCGGTTCGCTCATTATGATGTGTGCTTTAGGCATCAGTTTGCCTGCCAAGCCAGCAGCATTGCAAGCTCGCCAGGTCTCCAGACAAAGAACATGTACCGAAAGCAGCCCACCCTGCTGGAAGAGGCTGCCCCCAGCGTCTGCTCACGCCGTCATCCTGGCCTGGGCAAAGAAGCAGACAACGTTCGACAATGTCGGGGAGTTACGCGGGCTCGTGCATGGATCTTCGCGAACTGTTTGCACGCAGGGGCAAAGAAACGACATTTGGAAACACCACAAAACATCCGAGCATGAGAGCTGCATACAGTGATGCTACCAAATGTGTTATAGCTGTCCAGCAGCACATGCCAGTGGCACGTGCTAGTGACTGTGATAGTGGCAGCAACCACAACAACAGCAACATCACCATCAGCAGAAGCAGCAAACCAGCATCGTCGTCAATGTCAACACCATCACCATCATCTTCTTCACAGCCCTCATCTTCGCCTCCTCTTTTTCAACAACATCATCGGCAGCATCAACCTCGAGATCACTATCGCAACCATCATTACTAAACTTGTTATTATCATCACCACCAGTAGCAATAGAAGCCGCGGCAACTGGTCAATTTCAACAACAGCGATGCCATTCAAACTGTCAGTGCCAACTGCCGTTGGCAGCATTGACACCATCAGTGCGAACTCAGAGCACGACACTCTGTTCCATAGGGTCATGCAACTCTTCTTGTTCATGACGAAAAAGAAGATGACGGTGGTAACCATATTGATGGTCATCGTGACCCTCGGCTGCCATCACCGTCACCACCGTCGTCGTCATTGTCACGACGGTCATCGCCCTTGTGCTCGGGATTATGGTCTCGACCTTCATGGTTACCCGTTCTGCTGCCGCGCCAGGAAGACCGCAGGATGATTCACAATTTCTCAAGTGCCGTGGTCCGGAAGAGTCGAAGTTGTCGTCGGTGTAGTCGCAGTCTGCTGCAGCAGTCGTATTTTTCGCACACGTGGGTCGCGGTCGTCGTCGTCGTCCCCGCCGCAGTGGTTGTCGGGAGCTGAAGCAGCGCCGCTGTACAGTATAGTCGCGATGACAACTTGGACAAGTGGACTAGCAGACACAAATCTTTACAACGAAGGGGGAGATGTGAGCATCTATGGTCCTGCCATCCATGATGGAAATACCACAAGGGCAGTCGATGGCTTCCCTCCCACCTTCCGTGCTCTCTGTGCTGGTTCAACCCTTGACACCACGGCAATGCTTCTAAGCCAAACAACCCAAATCCAACGCCAATACACCAAATGCGACGGTAGTCCAGGCCCCGGGCGAAGCGTAACATTATCCCGGCACCTGCGCATGCAGCGTGGCACGGAGATCCAGGTCAAGTAGTGTTGAAGTCAAGTTCTAAGGCACCACAAGCAAAAACAAAGAAGTCAGCGCTTCTCGCAAGCTCGCACCTGCTGAGAAATTGCTAACCGAGTCTAAGAACATCGAACTGTTGCATGTGATGTTGCACCCACATCGGCACGAAACAGATATGAGCTGCAACAGGACACTCCTTCTCCCCCTTAGCCAAGGTATGAAACATGAGATGCAGTGTCGCAAAACGTCACGGATGTCCATGACACCGCTGTCAAGGTCTGAAGTTTCACCTCTGTCTCACTTGGACACTAACGCCGTTTGATCCGAATTTCAAAGCTACGGCATGACACATCCTGGAATCCTGCCTCGGCCGCGACATGCGCCATCGAAGTTCGGCGAAGCCTCCGGCTGGGGGTCAACGTCATGGGGTTTATTCTTCGCCGAGCACCGGATGGCTCTACTGGCAAATAAACTCCGAGTTACAGCTGGGCCGCGGGGAGGGCAGGTAGGGAGTACCCAAGACCTTCTCATGGATCGACTCCCTGCTGGATGACATCTGCAGCGGATCTACATGAACTGATCCTGACCATGGTTTCATGAAGACCCATCTACAAGAACCTCGCTACAAAAGGCAAACATGCACCAGCATAGCAGCATACCTTTGGCGGATTGTGGTGGGGGTGATCTCCAGCCCCATATAAAGTCGGAAAGCTTGCGTTCCCTTCGAGGGAGCTGCCAAACGGCCACAGAAGGCCATGAAACAAGAAGCAAGTGCAACGGTACCGACAAACTGATAAATTGCTCTGGCCATAGCTGGTACATTTGCACCCACAGGCCAAAGCAGTAGCTGCATGCAAATGCCCGAGAAGGTGCTCGGGACAGCCACGAGCAGCCGGTTTCTTCGTGGTGAGCCGGCCTGGGCAAATTGGCGGTGGGCTTGCTTTCGTTCCGGTAATGTCCTTTTCTAGATTTTGCTGAGCATTGTAAAGCTACTCAGAGAAGGCTTTAGCAGAATATATTTTAGTATACAGTCGCGAGGGATGCAAGCTGCAGATTGGTCATGCCGGCTACCTGTAGTAACGTGATTCCGACTGCTGGCAGATGGAAAGCCTCTGTGAAAGCGTGTAGGGCGAAAAGGGCCGAGCTCGCTCAACGCTTCTGTCCCGGAACAAAGTGCACAGAACCACTCCAGTTCAAAACAATCAACTTGCCCAGCCTCAGTGGACTTGACGATGTTTCTCTGAACAGGTCGCCAGCTGACTGTAGCTCACTGCCAGTTCAGAGTGCCCATCTCTTTGCTGCGATTTGGTGCGTCCGGTGCCTGAGCAAGGGGCAACAGTGAGAATCCTTTACCGATGGCCTGTCCTACAAAGAGCTCGCTGAAAGAAGAACTGCCGATGCATCTCTTTGCCAGGCTACAGGCTCCGCAGGCTCGACTGTGGCACCTCCACCCGTGGATTCCTGATTCACCACTCTCTGCGGGGCGGGTCTGCGGCGATTGCGGTTGGCCCGAGGGTGCCGGGGCCGCTGTCCATAGCTTTCCGCCGCCCAGCGCCAATATTCGTCGTAGCCATAGCCCCACCAAGGACCAGCCCATGCATGGTCCCAATTGTTCGCATCAGAAACCCACCTCAGCAGACACCCTTATGTATGCACAATGCACACAACAAATGAAGCAGGACGATGACGCCATGCCTAAAAAAAGTAGGTACTGGATATATATATATATATATATACATATATATACATACATACATACATACATACATACATATACATCTACTATGCACTCACCCGCCCAGCCATGCCAAGCCACCAACCTTCTGCATAACGGGGATGGTGCTGTCGGTTGGGCTGGGGCTGGGGCTTGCCTTTTTTGCCCTTTCCTTTGTCCTCCGCCTTGCCATGGCCCTTAGTGCCCTTGCCTTGGCTGGAGCTGGGGCCGGGGTGGTTGCGGGAGACGTCAATGCTGCCGTAACTACTGCGACGGCTTTCGCCTCCAGAGCTCTCTTCTGCATCTGCCACATGTTGCTTGGGAAAGGGGTCGGGAGTCGCGCTGCTGGCTGGGGATGGCGGTTTATCAGCCGGAGGACCCGGAGGGGGACCCGGAAGAGGATTCGGAGGAGGACTTGGAGGAGGACCCGGAGGAGCAGGATTGCACGGGCAGGATGCAGTCTGGAAGGCCTGGGCTTGGACATCCTGCTGGGGCTCGGAGTGCTGAGCTGTGAGCAGCTGGAGCGGTTGGAGGGCGGGAGCGGGAGCAGGCGGAGCGGGAGCGGGGGCAGGCGGAGCGAGAGCGGGCGTAGCGGGAGCTGCAAATTGCAGTGGCGGCGCTGCATTGACAGTGCCAATGGGGCTGGTGCTCGTCATTGTACCTGCTTGTATGAGCAGAACGCTCTGTACGACAGGTTGCGCCCAAGCGTGAAGAGCAGGGCTACAAGGTTTGCTGCAAGGAACGGGATGAAGAAATCGTTGCCAGACCGAGTAGGTCACGTTCGGAAAGTCACAGCCATGGGCTGCAAGCGAGATGTCCTGTGCGAGAGAGGGCGCCAAATAAGGTGCGAAGCAAATCACGTCCCGCATCATGTGAACATCATCCAATGCCTGATGTGACCGCAGGCCAGCCGCTCTCTGTTGTTCAGGCACAAAGTTTGTATGCATCTGCTGTAGCATCAGACCACCCGGCTGGCCGTAGAGTCGCTGAATCTGGTCGTTGTTGAACCGCTTCTTCCTGAGCTGGAGTCAGGGACCCACAAACTGAACTACGCACTGACAAGAAGGAATGCCAAAGCAATGCAATGACCCGAGGTTTCTTGGCTTTCTGCGTGGGTGGGTGGGTGGGTGGGTGAGTGATTCGGGTGCGGGGGTGGGTGGGTGCGTCCTTGTGTCATTGTGTTGTGGTTTTGTCTCTGTCTGCGTGTGTGCGTGTTTCGGCTGTGTCGGACGTAAAGCAAGACAGCCGCAGTGTTTAAGCTTTGAGGATCCTCATCTGTGAGTATGGTCGTCGGATCAAAACCCATTGTAATTGCAATGGGTGAAGATACTTGCACTGGCCGTGTTACAGTTGCGCATATGCAGCTGGGCCAATGTTAGCATCGGGATCGAAAAAGGGTTAAACGCGCAACATTCACCACTCTCCTTCACCTGTAAGCCAACACATGTAGCACTGTTGCATTCAGCATGCAAAAGAATCCTGAAGACAAATGCAGCCGAGCTTCAACGTCGCCACCGGGTCGGCAGAGATCAGTGCTGGACAACAGCGAAGGTCCAAACCAAGCCGGTTGATCTCCTTGCTCAGAACATAGTGATCAAAGCGGTCACCGTTGTGCGCGATAAGCACCACCTTGCCTGTGAAGCCTGCCGCCCGCTGCATGAAGGGCACAACGTGGGTGGGCCATAGCTGCGCGAAAAGCGGCAGCCCCGTGTCACAGACAAGAGCTTTGTGGCCGCTGTGTTCGGCAAATAGCCGTGTTGCTGCGGATTTCACATCATCCCACGCAAAGTCTGGTCGGCTGCGTAGAAGAAGCGACTCGCCCGTGACCAAGTTGACTGCTCCGAGCTCGATTATCTGGCATTTTGCCTAGTCCATGGTTGGGATAGTATGAAAATATTCGATGTGTATGCCTCCTTGCGTTTAATGACTCATAAAAATGTAAACTGCTAACCCAACTATGACAAAGTTGCCTTCCACGACCATTGATCCGATGTTTCATGCCAGTTCATGGCAGCGTAGCTGCCATGCTCGTGGTCATGGATGCATTCCAAGTCCAGGGCGACCAGACCAAAACCCAGTTGGCCCGGATCGGGAGCTGGCTCTTGAATCCGTGACGGTGCTTGGTGTTGCATTGCTGGGCTCGCATGAGGCCACATGGCCAGCAACTCCTTGATGGGGACACACCCCAACACAGGAGATCGTGTAAACGCTGCTCGTTGATGCACAGAACACTGTCTAATTGAGCAACTTGCATTTAAGCAAGAACTTCGATGTGATGAAGGTAAGCTGGAACAGCTGCGACAACAAATCCACGATCAACGCGCACTGGCACAGGGCTAGGGGCGCCAGGAACATGCGAAGATCTGAGAGCTACAGTGGGCAGGAAACGCTGGATTCAGTCTAAGTGGATGCTCATGGCAGCTGTCCCAGTGCAAGGTGAAGCAAAAGATCTTGCCTATGGCATCCTATACGATGTCTGGGTTCCAATATTCAAACCTGAATCCCGCGCCTGAGCCGCCTGCGAGAGGAGGCAATTCTCGGCTTGACTCGCTCTTGGACACAAAATGCCAGGCCGCGGTGTGCACAATTAGAGCTATATAACCATGCGCATTCAAGCATGCAATAACTGCTTGATGCATCCAGGTGTGCACATGGGTTAAAACTGCCATGATGCAAACACAATCGACATCCGCAGATGCAGACGAAGGCAAACGTGCGGTGCCCAACCGCGGCATCATTAGACTCAACTCAGCGTGACCGCTTCTGGCTACATGCTCCTCGTGTATCTTTACTTTTTACGACAGTCAAGTCTTACTAGCATCACTATGTTTGCCTTCAAGGGTTCCCGGCATGGGCTGAGTGCTACAATACTGCTTCACCCGGCAGACCTCGCCAAGAAGACCGAACCACAACTTCCCGGTATCTGCACTCCCTCAAACCTGAACATGTGGACACTGCCGGCTAAACTCCAGACGGGCACTGGTCCAGCAAATCGCAGAAAAGGCAGCATGTGCCGAGCTGCCAGGATGCACAAGGTCCAAGTAGGTGGGAAGCAAGGCTAATGGCTTCAGGCCGACTGAACTGAAGGGTTATACATGTCGGGAGTGGTAAAGGAGCTGGTTTCGTTCAAGAACCAGTAGTAGGCTAGGAAGTGACCAGCGACCCCGTGTTTTGAGCTCCTTCACTTCTCTTCTTTACTTTCGGATCGCTCCTCGGACCGATTTGTTCTGTAGGCCTGCACGCCGTCAAACTCTCCTCAACACTCTCTGCGGCAGGGCTCGATTCGTCGCTTTAGAGGTGCCTTGGCAGCTAGACTTGATATCGTGCTGACGCCAGGCTTCAACCCGCCCACACTTTCTGCTGCTGGTATCGCTGCTGCTCACTGATACTCGGTGCAAATGCCTTCACTCAGCCTACAAGACTTTCAAGTGGTCCCGTTTTGGGTCCTCATTATAGTACGGCATCTAATATTTTTGGTACCTACATGGACCTGAAACATTTTGGGTCCTCATTATACCCTGCAGGTCCAACCCACCAGTTAAACGGGTGCGTTCAAGTAAACCACGCAAAACACTGAACACACCTCAAAAACTGAATTTAACATTGTTTCAGTGGATGATAACACTGCTTTCTTATGCACAAAGTTTCACAGTCATTGGTGGTGGTTTCACAGTTATTTGGGTGTGTTTCACGGTTTTCTGGTGTTGTTTCACGCTTTTTTCACGCTAGTTTCACGGTCAGCTGTTTGGTGTCTTGAGCCTCTGCATCGATGACGCCTGGTGTGGCGCCGTCCAACCCACCAGTTAAACGGGTGTGTTCACAACCCACCAGTTTAACGGGGTGGCGGGTTAAACGGGTGCGTTCAAGTAAACCACGCAAAACACTGAACACACCTCAAAAACTGAATTTAACATTGTTTCAGTGGATGATAACACTGCTTTCTTATGCACAAAGTTTCACAGTCATTGGTGGTGGTTTCACAGTTATTTGGGTGTGTTTCACGGTTTTCTGGTGTTGTTTCACGCTTTTTTCACGCTAGTTTCACGGTCAGCTGTTTGGTGTCTTGAGCCTCTGCATCGATGACGCCTGGTGTGGCGCCGTCCAACCCACCAGTTAAACGGGTGTGTTCACAACCCACCAGTTTAACGGGGTGGCGGACGTGCAGGGTATAGTACGGCATCTAATATTTTTGGTACCTAAATGGACCTGAAACAGACAGCACAAAGGAACCTGGTTCGAGCAGGCAGATTCCCCGCTTCCCAACTGCCTTTCCGCGGCCATGCAAAGGGTCGAGGCCATCGCCCCGCCTGGCTGGTAGCATCGCAGACGAATGACTTTGAGGGCATCGGAAATCAGGATTTAGGGGAAATTGGGTTGGGAATTTAGAGCTTTTGGGTGCGTTGGGATAGGGACTTGTGGGATTCGGTGGGCTCTCTCTCTCTCTTTCTTTCTCTCTCTCTCTCTCTCTCTCTCTCTCTCTCTCTTTCTCTCTCTCTCTCTTTCTCTCTCTCTCTCTCTCTCTCTGTCTCTCTCTCTCTCTCTTTCTTTCTTTCTGCAGGGCGTAAGGGTCGCGCAAGCGCCCCCCAGGCTTTCAGCCCGCCCAGCCACACTCTGTGATTATGGAGTGGCTGGTAAAGGGGTCTTTCCAGATTAAGGCAGGGAACTACGAAACATGCTCCAGGTTTTCATGTAGCGATCCCCACCTAGAACACTAAGAAACCCCCCGCATCCCGGCCTCATCTCCGGGCCCCTATGGCTGACCAGTCTAGTACCTAGGTCCTTCTAAGCAGGTTTCGCTGCATTGTGTTTGGAGCAGAAAAGCCGGATGAATTGGATCCCCCCCCTTGCTCTCACACAGCAAGGGTGGATGCCGAATTATTTGTATGAGGGCGGAACGGACTTCGTCGGGTGACGGTGTGCAGCGAATTGTAAAAGGGCGGAAAGGATTCGCCAAATCATGGCAAGGTTCTGCAAAAGTCGTACTGGACAAGTATGTTACAAAGGGCGTGCTATCGTGCAATCCCCCGGCTGGGTTCGAAAAGGTGGCGGCTTCATCGAGCTGCCTGGTAAGCTGTACGTCCCCCTAGTAAGGGTTCAAGGAGAAACGCGGGAACCAAGGTGCAGGGCAGTCAAACCGAACAACAAACCGAACAACAATCACAGGTGTGCCCTCCCCCAGTTCCCTGTCCCTCGCGCACTGAACTTTTTACATATCGTGGCGCTCACTGCTCTCACGGCTGCTCTTCATATGTTCTTGTACTTGTTGAATTTGCCACCACATGTTCGGCTGGAGATGCACGCGTTGCTCCCCTCCATGTCGCCGCGGGCTGCGGCTGGGAGTGCGCGGTCGCTCTTGTCCCAAGCGCCTTCCCCCCATATCCATGTTGGCTCCTCCTCCTCGTCTCGGGCTGCGGCTGGGAGTGCGCGGTCTCTCCTGTCCCAAGCGCCTTCCCCCCACGTCCACGTTGGTTCCAGTGGTTGCCGCACCGGCACTTGAACTCGGCTCCTCTTCCCTGCCATGGGCCATGACGGCGTCGTCTTCATCATGTTGCTTGTCTCCCCCGTCTGGGTTGTGTGGCTGTGTGCTTGTAGTGGCCGAGTCAGTGCTTCCCCAGTCGACTTCCTCAACGTCGTGCTCTTTTCCCAAGACGGCTTCAGTGGCTGCTTCTCCCCCTTGGCTTTGTGCTGGAGTCGGCTGCTTCGGCGTCTTCTTCTTGACTTTTCGCTGTCTTCGCATTTTCCTTCGGATCTGGCGCGCCTTTGTGAGTAGTGCGCCAGCCTTCTGCGGGAAGCGGATCAGGTGGGCCCGCGTCTCGTCAGCGAGTGCGGGTAGGTATTTGTCCACTATTTTGGTGACCCTGTCCGCTGCTGTGGCTATCTTGCACCGCGACTTGAAGCGGTCCCGGTACTTTCCGTACTCCCCCGCATCCTTCTGGTTGAGCGGCTCGTTGGTCTCGGCGTCCATCCACACCCCATCATCTTCGTAGATCTCTCGCTTCCCCCATTTATCGAGAGGTCCTGGTAGGAAGTGAAGTCCCAATCCCCCTCGGGTCGTGAACCTGGTCATGTGTGAGAAAGGGACCTGTGGAGTTCTTCCGTCCCCCGCTTCTTGTTGTGGAGGATCCCGTCCCTGCGTCACTGGTCGGCTCCCCGATCCCCTCTCACCGCTGCCGTGGAACCGACAGGCTGGGTCGGAGCGTTCGTGTACCTTTCGGAATCCCTGCTGGCAGATTCCAGAGCCCTGCCGACACAGGCGACATTGCTTCTTTCCTGTCTGCTGTTGCCTCTCCCAACTGGCACCCATTGCTCCACTGTACCACGGTAGTATTTCTTCACGGCGTCCCGGTAAGTCACGATCTTCCAGGCGTGGTTCTCCCCCTCCCAGCCTGCTGGTTCGGTGAGCGAAAAGCTGGAAAGGAGGATGGCGAAGAAGGTTGGGTCCCCCTCGGTTTACAAGCCGAGGTAGATGTCCTTGCTGTCACTAGGTCACCGGGCAGCAGATAGCTCACGATCTTGCCGGTCACCTTTATTGCGCGTTCCTCCACGAAGGCTACTGGGGCCTCTTAAGTCCAATGGCGGCGGACGGTTGGTCTCAAGCACCGCTTGAACAACTGGGAAGGCTCTCTCGGAGGAACAGTCCGAGCTAACTCCCCCAGCTGCCCCCCGATGCAAGGAGATGACACACACCCCCAAGCAAAGGTGCAGTACTTGAGCCAAAATGGCTACTCTCTCTCTCTGTGTTTCCGTCGATACCTGCATCCGTATATATATATATATATATATATATATATATATATATATGTATACATATGTATTAATATATATATATATATACATGTACATACATACATACATACATACATACTACATACATACGTGCATACATTACATACATATAATATTATATATATATATATATATATATTATATACATATATATATATGTTCACACACACATTATATATCCATGAGGCATCCATATATATATATATATATATATATATATATATATATAATATACATGCATACACACACACACAAATGCAGGGCTGGCTGCTCGTTGTAGTCATGGTCATGATGGCAGCAGGTGCGACCGTGGAATCGAATCGAAGGCAACTTGCGTAACTTGGGTTAACTTGAGCTAAGTATATGTTTTCATCTTGAAATGCAGCAACTGTGTGCTGTAACCTACATATATATGTACTTTTCAAGCTTCATTTGTTTATCTTATATGCTTACACTTACTGATGTATTTTTTATGCCTGTTTACGTGTACCTGCACGCCTAAACAAAAAGCCAATGATGACATGTATGATTGACACGAGTTAAGCCCACGACGAGAACTGCAGCAGCAGTAACAGCCCGGACTGGCGACACGGACTTTGTAGGTTGCTGCTGGGATTTGCACTACTTCCATGACTATTCATGCTGGCATTTTGCGTCGTAGCCCTGAAGTCTAACCCTCGAACCCTGAACTCGACAAAACCCGAAACGTTATGAAGCAACAATAAACAGAAAAACACAACAACAACCATATTGATTTCCCTACGAAAGAAACAAAGACAACCCGGAGGCGGAATCCTGGCCTGGATGAGGGCAGTCACCAGGTATCCTGAGCAACAAGAAACTCCCAAAACCCTGGAGCATTAAAACCCGTAGACCTTACCAAACTCCAAACTTCGTGAATGGGATGGGCCGGGTCTTGGGAGTTCACTTCAACGGCTCAGCGGCATGACGTGCATGTAGAAAACACAGACCATGCATTCGCATGATTAAGATTACTCTAAGATCAACCCGAGAATAGACTAGTCACGACAACTACTATACTTGCCACTCACGACTGCGATTACTGCTACTGCTGCTGCTACCGATACCGTTCCGACTCGTACCAATGCAATCACTCTTGAAATGGGAGGGATGCACTGGCCCCCAGGGCAGCCATCTCCAGGATGATTGGGTTAAAAAAAGCTTCTCTCGGATGCTCAGCATAGACGGATGCAAGGAACACCCCACGAGACTTGCCGGCATGACCAGACTCTTGCTAGTACAGCAGCTGCAAATTGGCATTAAGCTTCCAGAAACCCCGTTGTTGTTGCGATTCGCACGGTCGTGAATTCTGTGGATATAAGACCACCGCCAGTTTGGTGCACACTATTCTACGCAACGGGTGCAACTGGTGTTACAGTCGTGTTGAATAGTGTGTTCGACGTTTTTGCTTGGGTGAGTGTTGCTTGTGTTTTTTGCTATGTTGGCTGATGTTGCGTCTTGTGTCGTAGCTTGCCACTGGCAGACTATGTTCGACTGTTGTTGCTGTTTTTCGTGCTCTTCCTATCGCTTTTTGCCACACTTGATATTCATGTCTTCGGCTTGTCGTCCTCGCTATTGCCGTCGGTTACTCCTCCATCCCGGAATGAAAATGAGTCCAATCACAACTCAGGCACATCGGGAAAGCCCCCTTTCGTGCTTGGACCCTTCAAAAGCCAAACAACCAACTGAAACCATTAATACTAATACTGATACTAATACTAATCCTAATACTTATACTAATACTTATACTAATACTAATACTTATATACTAATACTACTTGCGCAAACCTCCCCCCAAGCAATCCCTACCCTACGACCCACAAGGGTCGTGTTCCTGAGCCCCGGGCCATAGCCCAGCGCCGAGGCCAGAACCGAGGCGCCCGCCACGCCAGCCAGGCCATACCTCATGTAGGGGCTTTATAGTAACAATAATAATAATACTAGTAATAATAATAATAGTAATAGTAATAATAGTAATAATAGTAATAATAGTAATAATAATAATAATAATAGTACTCATAATAATTATTATTATAGGAATTAGAATAGGGTTTTGGGCCCATTATACTATGAGTTATAAGTAATAAGAATAAGAAGGAACCCCGAACATATTTTAGGTAATTGTTAAGGCCGCCAAAAGGCTTTTGCAAAAATACTTGAGGACTGAACATTGCGGGCTGGAGAGTCGCCTTGAATTGGTCCGCGGGTAACGGTTTGGTCTTCGGTTCATGCAGCTGAAACACCAACACTGTTTGCGGGCTCGAACAGAAGAGACCTGCCCAGAATAAAGAATCGATACCTATCAGAATCAACTAAGACTGCGCCGGCCGTCAGCGAGTGGTGCTTCCAGTCTCCTTCGTATTGTACTCCAGAAATACATGCGGAATGACAATGGAAGCCGGGACACTTTGGGCACAGCAGCCTATCACCCACGACATTTGCCACCTTGCAGAGGCTTCGATGGAAGCTTCGGGACTGTTACCCATGGATTTCTCCAAGCTATCCCGCAACCCAGTCGAGCAGCAGCATGCAAGAAACCCGAACTCAAGAAGCCCTAAATCAAGAAACCCTAAATCAAGAGACCCTAACTCAAGAAACCCTAACACAGGAAACCCCAAATCAAGAAACCCCGACCATCCCCGGCAACCGTAGCCTCTCTGGTCCAAGTAACTGCCGACTCATCGGCCGCGTTTAGGGTTTAGGGTTTAGAGTTTAGGGTTTAGGGTTTAGCCAACCAGAACAAACTGCACTTGAAGCCCCGAGGAAGAGACCCCTACGGTAGGGAGTCTCCATTGCAGTTCCTATTTTGGGTTTCACCAAATAGATAGTCAGTATCCTTTAAGGCAACCACCGCATGGAACCAAAATGGAGACTATACAGGGGCCATAATCGCGAATGATAGAGATGAGCCAGCGGCAAAACCTATGAAACCGCCTTCCCAACCTCTATATGGGGTTATCGCTGTTGGGCAGGCACCTTATCGTTCTGCAGGATTTCCCGGTCTCTATCTACAAGCGATCTTTTATACATATTGGGCCTGAAGCAAAAGGGCCGAGGCTGCAAGGTTTTTGTAAGGTAGTCCTTGACTTCTGTCTCACCGGTTGAGGAAAGGATCGAGTCTACAGCGCTTGGGGCTTCAGGTTGCTGAGTTGGAAGTCCCCCACATAAAACAAGACATGTGGGCATGTGGTGGTTATGACTACAAAACCAACCTGGCGGGTTATCGCTTCGTTATCGATTTAGACACAATCGAAACAGCCTGCAAAATTTGCAGAATTTAACCTCTCGTGATACACAAGCTCCTCTTGATGTTATCCAAAGGTTATCGCTTCCTGGCAGGCGCCTTATCGTTCTGCAACGTAAACGTTAACATCCTGATGTCCAGGTAGGCCCGCAGACTAATCTCGCGTACGGAGAGAAACGCCTGTAGCTCAGATCCTTGCATAATCTACCACCTTCAAAGGCTGTTCTTGAATTCAGGCGCTCTATGCAAGTCGCTGGATGGCTTCCGGGCTCCGCACCAGGCCGACTAAAGTCACGAACAACGGCGTGGTGCCATCCTCAAGCGGATGGGCAAATTCACAAACACCCAAACCCTGAAGGGTAGCTCAGGGTTTCGGGGTTTGGTTCTAGAAGGGTTCAAACAAGGCTCTATAGCGAAACCCAGCGGCCCGGAGCCCCAAACCTTAAACTCAAAAGCGTCTATAAACCCTAAATGAAGTCTTTCCTAGCTAGCTGGTTTCGAGAATATAGTCATCAGTCACTGTTCATATGACAAGGGAGCTGCAAAACACGAGGCACTTCCAGCAAAGTTGTATAGTACTGTAGGGATACGCTGAAAGTACGAGGTCTAGGGAACCGGACTATGAGTTTATTATTGTCAGAAAAATCACGATCCGATCCTAGACCAGCGAGAGTCTCTCCGAGTTCGCACAGTAACGCCCAATGAATAAGAAAGGAACTATATAATATAGTAAGAGAAACCCCTACAGTACCGTTAAAGGAACCCCATTAGTGCAAGCCTACAGAACCCTAACTGGTATCCTTAAGCTCATGAATGAAAAAGCTCCGGTTTAGGGGTTGAGGTTCATTAGGGCCTTAGGGTTTGACGCAGAAAGGTGGTTACGTTCCAAAACCTTGAAGCTGGGAGTTCAAGCAGCTGATGGTCTGCAATACATCCCAGACAACACACACTCCTTATTCTGAAAATGGAAGCCATTTTAATCGAGAGTCCCTGTCACCCAGATCTCAATAGCCCCTGCACCCAAAACCGTCAAACGCCGTCAAACCCGAGCCAACTTTGAAATCGCCGCGCCTTCCCTGCCAGGCAGAAGGAGGTCGCAACGGAGGTGCCGCGCTCGACAGGCGTGCCGAGAGCCCGGATCTGGAGATAGGCGACCTGGGTCTCTGGGTTACGCAATGAGTTGCCTACTGTACCAGGACCCTGCTTGTACCCTCAAATAGGGGGATATGGTCCCAAATAATGGGTCAGTGTCTCGAATCAAGGTGGTCTATTGTCCTCTTCCTGTTGCGCAGGAGTTTCGCAGAGAACAGCGCGCCGAAATTTCTAGGAGCCCTGTAAATGCCCCTTTGGAGGAACCTGCTTCAAAGGGTACTTGACAAACCCCAGCGGATGTTCGCCCTGGTTCTGCACCAGCACATGCACAAACCCGATACATTGCACACTCGAAGGGTGAGGTTTGCTTACATAATCGGCTTACCATCGTGCTCGACAGCTCAGCCTGGAATGCTGAAGAGCCAGGAATCTCAAAGCCTTCCGGGCGCTTCCCTGTCATTATGCTCATCACCTCAGCCTCCAGAAGAAGGAACACTGCTGCCATCAACATGCAGAAGGCCTGAAGTCTCCAAACCAACACTTTCCAATACTGCGGGACAGCAGGAATCTGAGCTGCCGCGCTGAAAATGGAAGCATTGCCTGAGTTGAAGGAACTGCCGCATATCTTCTGTTTAATAATATAGTAGATACTGTTCAAGCCAATCCCTCCATGTGGCTTACTGCTTACTGACAGCACTCCAGCAATGTCTGAACAACCTCGCAGGCAAGTGACAGAGTTGGCGCCAAGCAGACGAGTGAGCGGAGTCGCAAAAACGCAAAGAAAGCCGCCTCAGCTGGCAAAGAGCATCACGGACGAAAGCCCAAATTCTGCAGCAACCAATTCCTTCCGTGGAAACTGTACCATCCTGACATGCTTGCATGCCAAGCACGATTTTGGGCTATAATCCAGCGAAAGGCAGCCGAGTAGCCCAGCAGGATGCCTGGCAAGTTGCGCATTCAAAAACACTTGGTGTGTGCGTCGACCCTCCCGAAAAATTTTAAGGGATCTGGGCCTGGGAGCCTCGCATATGATGATGACTGATGATGATGATGGTGATGATGATGTTGCGGCCCATGAACCTTGAACAAGCCTCGGAACCTGATGACATTGATGACAGATGATGACGATGAGGACTCCACGGGGCATGCTTAATTTTCCAAGCCTCGATGATGACTGGTTACCCTCAGTCAGGGAGTCTGTGTTCGACTGAATCTGCGACGGAACAAGACTCGCCGCAAGCAACCCAGCTCCCTGGGCTGAGACCTGTGCTGAGCCTGACAACCCAACGAACTATTCTACCTGGGAGCCTGGGAACCTAGGAACCGAACCTTTGCCGAGCCTCGTGATGATTGTCAGATTGTCATGTCACGGCACATGTCTCAGCCCAGCCAGGGAGGGAGTCTTGCGGCAGATCTTCAACCGCAGATGCATTCGGCAACAGTCGCAAAGCCGGACTGGTGAGGAGCAGCATCATCATATTATGATGATGTTTCTCCTAACCAGTCCGGCTTCCCGAGTAGCGGTTGAGAGCATGCCGAGCTTGCACACGCTCTCCTGCAGCCCGTGTCTGGGAACAGGCAAACAGGCAAAGAGTGTTAGTCTCCAGCAACCTTTTAGAAACTCTCAGACCAATCCGGCTGGACTACAGACAACTTGCAAGTCAACTCTACAAGCCCGTGGCACGCATATCCTCTGGGCCCCCTGGGCCTGGAAGCCTCGCATATGACTGATGACTGATGATGATGATGGTGATGATGATGTTGCGGCCCATGAACCTTGAACGGGCCTGGGAACCTGATGACATTGATGACTGATGATGGTGATGATGATGTTGTGGCCCATGAACCTTGAACGGGCCTGGGAACCTGATGACATTGATGACAGATGATGACGATGAGGACTCCACGGGGCATGCTTATTAAATTTATTTAAATTTATTATTGTAGCCTCGATGATGACTGTCATGCCACGGCACAGGTCTCAGCCCAGCTATTCTACCTGGGAGCCTGGGAACCTAGGAACCGAACCTTTCCCGAGCCTCGTGATGATTGTCATGTCACGGCACATGTCTCAGCCCAGCCAGGGAGGGAGTCTTGCGGCAGATCTTCAGCCGCAGATGAATTCGGCAACAGTCGCGAAGCCGGACTGGTTAGGAGAAACTTAATTAATTTCATTTGCGATTGCCGAGCTGAACCTGGAAGCCGATACGACACGGGCTGAAGGAGAACATGCCGAGCTTCGACACGCTCTCCTGCAGCCCGTGTCTGGGAACAGGCAAACAGGCAAAGAGTGTTAGAACCCAGCAACCTTGTGAAACCTAAAACTCTCAGACCAATCCGGCTGGACTACAACTTGCAAGTCAACTCTACAAGCCCGTGGCACGCATATCCTCTGGGCCCTCTGGGCCTGGAAACCTCGACTGATGACTGATGATGATGATGGTGATGATGATGATGATGTTGCGGCCCATGAACCCTGAACGGGCCTGGAAACCTGATGACATTGATGACTGATGATGGTGATGATGATGTTGCGGCCCATGAACCTTGAACGGGCCTGGGAACCTGATGACATTGATGACAGATGATGACGATGAGGACTCCACGGGGCATGTGTTAAAATTATATCTTTATTTAAAATTTAATTAGCCTCGATGATGACTGTCATGCCACGGCACACGTCTCAGCTGGGTTCAGACTCCCTGACTGAGGGTAACAGACTGAGCCTGGCAACCCAACGAACTATTCTACCTGGGAGCCTGGGAACCTAGGAACCGAACCTTTCCCGAGCCTTGTGATGATTGTCATGTCACGGCACATGTCTCAGCCCAGCCAGGGAGTCTTGCGGCAGATCTTCAGCCGCAGATGAATTCGGCAACAGTCGCGAAGCCGGACTGGTTAGGAGAAACTTAATAATTTCATTTGCGGTTGCCGAGCTGAACCTGGAAGCCGATACCACACAGGCATGCAGGAGAGCATGTCGATTCGACACGCTCTCCTAGCCCGTGTGGGAACAGGCAAACAGGCAAAGAGTGTTAGAACCCAGCAACCTTGTGAAACCTTCAACTCTCAGACCAATCCGGCTGGACTACAACTTGCAAGTCAACTCTACAAGCCCGTGGCACGCATATCCTCTGGGCCCTCTGGGCCTGGAAACCTCGACTGATGACTGAAGATGATGATGGTGTTGGTGATGATGATGTTGCGGCCCATGAACCTTGAACGGGCCTGGGAACCTGATGACATTGATGACTGATGATGGTGATGATGATGTTGCGGCCCATGAACCTTGAACGGGCCTGGGAACCTGATGACATTGATGACAGATGATGACGATGAGGACTCCACGGAACTATTATTATATTTTATCAGCCCAGGGAGCTGGGTTGCCAGCGGAGCAATTCAAAGTTCTGCCGAACACAGACTCCCTGACTGAGGGTAACAGACTGAGCTTGGCAACCCAACGAACTATTCTACCTGGGAGCCTGGGAACCTAGGAACCGAACCTTTCCCGAGCCTCGTGATGATTGTCATGTAACGGCACATGTCTCGGCCCAGCCAGGGAGGGAGTCTTGCGGCAGATCTTCAGCCGCAGATGAATTCGGCAACAGTCGCGAAGCCGGACTGGTTAGGAAAACTTATTTTAGCCGAGCTGAACCTGGAAGCCGATACCACACGGGCACGGCATGCAGGAGAACACCTCGAGCTTCGACACGCTCTCCTGCATGCCCGTGAACCTGGGACGGCGCGGAAGCGGCAGAATCTCTGCCGCTTCCACACTGTTTTTCTCCAGAAATTGTGACACCTAAAACTCTCAGACCAATCCGGCTGGACTACAACTTGCAAGTCAACTCTACAAGCCCGTGGCACGCATATCCTCTGGGCCCTCTGGGCCTGGAAGCCTCGCATATGACTCAGATGACTGATGATGATGATGATGGTGATGATGATGTTGCGGCCCATGAACCTGGAACGGGCCTGGGAACCTGATGACATTGATGATCGATGATGACGATGAGGACTCCACGGCGCATGCTTAATTTTCCAAGCCGTTGAGCCTGGACTGCAATTGATGTTCCGCGTGCACGCCGTGCATTCCCCGCAGCATCAATTCGAACCAGGTGTTTCCAGTGGAAACACCTGGTTCGATTGATGCTGCGTGTGGCGCCTGGGGCCTGAAGTCTGTTGCTGCTCTGTTGCATGCACCGGCAGTGAACATCCACGGAACGGCCACCGGCAAGGTTTCCATGTCCCCAGACTCCCTGAGCGACTCTGCCACGGTCATCTGTCCGCCCTTAAAGGGTGGACAGATGACGGTGGCAGAGGCGAACCCAGGCGAACAACCATGGAGCCTGGCAGCAACCTTAAAATCTTAAATATTGGGAGCCTGGGAGCCTGGGAACCTATGACTAGGAACCAGTCTCAGCAACTCAGGCCACAAAGTCGGAGCGTCGGCTGGCGCCGGTGTGGGCACCAAAGCAGCCTGGCAACACGGGGAGCGACTGGGTTGCCTATCAGCAGTGACAGTGAAATTACATCATCCAGGGTCCTTTTAGGTGGGATGTTGGGCACCCACGAAGCAACCCTTCAATGCATAGAAAAGACCCTTCAATGCAACTTTTTTGAGAATCAGCGCGTTCAAGGGTCACAAGGTTGCATCCAAGGGTCCCTCAAAGACTAAGATGCTGCTGGATGTTGGCTGGGCACCCACGATAAAACCCTTCAATGCATCCAAAAGACCCTTCAATGCACCTCTCTTAAGAATCAGCGTGTTCAAGGGTCAAAAGGTTGCATCCAAGGGTCCCTCAAAGATGCTGCTGGATGTTGGGCACCCACGATAAAATTCCTTCAATGCAACTTTTTTGAGAATCAGCGCGTTCAAGGGTCACAAGGTAGCATCCAAGGGTCCCTCAAAGATGCTGGATGTTGGGCACCCACGATACAACCCTTCAATGCATCGAAAAGACCCTTCAATGCACCTCTCTTAAGAATCAGCGCGTTCAAGGGTCAAAAGGTTGCATCCAAGGGTCCCTCAAAGATGGCTGGATGTTGGGCATCCACGAAGCAACCCTTCAATGCTTCCGGGTTTAGGGTTTAAGGTTTAGGGTTTAGGGGTTTAGGGTTTAGGCTGGTTTAGGGTTTAGGGTAAAAGACCATTTCAATGTACCTTTTTGGAGATTCAGCGCATTCAAGGGTCACAAGGTTGCATCCAAGGGTCCCTCAAAGATGCTGGATGTTGGACACCCACGAAGCAACCCTTCAATGCATCGAAAAGACCCTTCAATGCACCTTCTCGGAGATTCAGCGCATTCAAGGGTCACAAGGTTGCATCCAAGGGTCCCTCAAAGATGCTGGATGTTAGTAGGCATCCACGAAGCAACCCTTCAAGGCATCCAAAAGACCCTTTAATGCACATGTTTTAAGAATCAACGCAGTCAAGGGTCACAAGGTTGCATCCAAGGGTCGCTGACTGTCAAGCCATTATGACCGCCATGTACCAGACCCTGCACT